AAACACTTAATGTACACTACCTCGGGAAATAGTGAGTTTTGTTTTCCCTCGAGTCTCAATGTTTCCCTCGACTTCGTCTCGGGAAACATTCAGACTCTTGGGAAAACAAAACTCACTATTTCCCTCGTGAGCATACATTAAGTGTATAAAGTTTACTTATAATGTTGGGGTCAGGTGTCAATTGGGACGCAAGTCCTGTTCCTTTCCTCTGTCACACTTATGTCCTCTGTTGTTTTACATGTGTTTGTGCGTAATAATTGTATTGTGTTGTGACAAATGATCAAATAAATAAAACAATTCATTGAAAATACATCAATAATTCTATGTCGTCGAACACTTTGTTTACAACACTAAACAAGTAAGAAAAAACTCAAAAGAAGTAAACAGCAACACTAAACAAGTAAACAAAAACACTAAACAAGTAAACGACAGCTTAAAATACGACTAATAAACTATTGGCGTAGTTTATTGCAATTTAATCGCAATTGTTTTGAAAATTTTATGCTGGAGACGCCATCGATGAAGATGTAACTCTCATCCTCAGCAATATATTAATCCTCTCATTAAAACAACTCGCCACGACGATATGGTGAACGGTTTCTTTGATAGTTCGCTCCAAGCTTTGGTCCAGTCGCTTTGGGAAGAAACATTAAGGTCAATCATTTCAGAAATTTTATCTTCGCTGATCAGATTGAGATAAGTGCCTTGCTTGTGTAGTTTAGCATTTTTGCCCACCACGGCACGAAGCATCGGCTGGCGTGTTGCGAGGAGGATCAAAGCTTTTTCCACATGCTCTTTCAAGAGTTTCTTTTTGGATTTCAATGAAAAAACCAAACATAGAATGCCCGCCCCGTCTCGGTTTTCATAGCGCAGATTATATAGATCCTCATACACACCTAGAAACCTGCCTCCGGTCGATAGGCCAGGGTTAGTTACTTTCATTACCATTAGAAGAATGTGGTATAACACCATTGTCAATACAGCGAAGAACAGCCTGAAACACTGGACCAAAGTCACCCAGTTCCATTGTAGCTCCAGATTTACACACACCATAGGCAGCCCAGAAATCTGTTTATACTCAGTCTTCGACTGCATTGTTTACGCGCGCGGTCAGCTTCTCTTGCCTGTACTAATTACTGTATTATATATTAATATATAGCTAATACAGTAATTAGTACAGGCAGGAGAAGCTGACCGCGCGCGTAAACAATGCAGTCGAAGACTGAGTATAAACAGATTTCTGGGCTGCCTATGCACACACTGGAACACTTGCAGCGCGAGTGATAGACAACAACAAAGTGCAGTGAAGCATATTATATTAACATAAAGCATAGCTCTCATATGCTCTCGAAAATCTGGTGTTGCATTGGCTGTTGCCTGTGACAAAGGAGATATCAAAGCACCTCACAACTGCATCAACAGAATACATGCCAAGCACGACATTTGAAATGGATGAGTCACATTTACGTCAGGCGGCCATGTTGGTGTGCCACTTTAATTTTAAATGAAAATAAACGACCAAACGTATGGCATAGGTGTAAACCTCCTCTATATTTCAGGGTTTTGAACGTTGTAACTCGGTTAATGGATGCGAGGGGAACGGTAGTCAGGGCAACAACTCGTTGAAAAACATGAATAATTTTGGAGTTCGTCGTCGAACGCTTTGTTTACAAAACTAAACAAGTAAACGATGGCTGACGACTACAAACATTAAACAGCCAACTGCGAACGGCAGATACTAAATGGCGGTTTGGAGTTTGGAGTTTGAAAGCCAAAAAATAGTTAACGATAAGCTTTTGGAATCATGAATTAACTATCATCCATGGATGCCTTGCAACAAGTTCAAAGCCTGAAGTAAATTTCTTCTAAAAAATTCACGAGTGGATCGTCGAACGAGGCTCTGTTGAAACGCCTGTTGCAGATCAGGGGGAAAAGCCAAACTTGAAAGTTGGGTCCTATTAAGGGGTTCTAAATCAGGAACTTCTACTTACAACCAATTCACATTTACTAATACATATAAACATATAAAACATTTTCTCCGGCAAACTTTCTGCCGCAAAATGCATTTGTCTGACATGATTGTAAAAGTCGTTAACATTTCTCTGTAGTTACATCTTTGAGCCTAATGTTGCCGTTTTATTAAGAAATATCAATATTTACTGCATTTTATAATCATGCAGTATTTTTTCAGAATTTGTTACATATCATGCATAGTTTCCGACATCCGACGAGCTTGAGTTTAATTAATTGTCGTGTGAAAATCGTAGCAAACTCTCAAAACACCACCTGGAAATCTGCTCTGCGTGATCGTCAGAGACTCTACTGAAATCATATGCGATGATTGAGGACATTTTGCCGTTTACCGTGACGTTGAAATAACAGAAAACGCTATTCAATCGGTGAACCAAACTCCAAAACATACAACTGTCCACTTCATGTACGAGATCAGTTGCCTTCTTCGTTAAAGTTGAACGATCCAGCGCTGGAAATGCCTGCGCAAAGCGAAAGTCTATTCAATTCCACTTGTTCACGGGGACTTAAAATCTCGTTAAGTTGTTCATTGGAGCTGAAAGATTGGCATGTTGCAATATGCTGATGGATAAACTCTTCGTCTTTCAAAGAGCTATGGATATGTGCGGTTTTCTTGAGCCAATCGCCAAATTCTTGCTCTTCGATAACGTGGCTTTAAAATCACATAGCTGCTCAACGCAAATGGCCAGATAATCTTCAGGAAGGATGCAGGCTTGCATATCTCTTTGCATTGATGGGAATGAGTGTTCCAGTTTTAAGTCACCATTGTCCAGGTTTTATATCTTGCAAACCCATATGAGCCGTGGCAGCATAGCGCCTGTCACTGTACAATTATTCCTCTTGCAAGCGTTTTAATTTTACTCGTCTCAGCGTTCGATATACTTTGTGTAATATCTTTGTTGTTGGACGTGGGGAAGCCGTCTGGTTTGATGGGAATTTCACAAAGAAAGGGTTTGTTTGTTTTGCCGACAGGCAACTGCGTAGCTTTCGTCTATATATGAGCTTAGATATCAGAGAAAACCCAAACAAATCACAAAGAATTTTCAGCGGAGACTGTCTACCATTTTTGAGTAATTGTGTAACGTCAGATTCCAAGGGCAACGGTGGTTTATATTCGTCGGATTTCATCGCAATATTATTCAGATTTTCGAGAAATTGTTTTGCAAATTTTATGCCGGAGACGCCATCTATGAATGCATGATTGAATGCAAAAACAAGAGTGTCTCTGTAGCTCTCATCCTCAGCAATATATTCATCTTTCATTAAAACAACTCGCCAAGACAATTTGCTGAACGGTTTATTTGATAGCTCGCTCCAAGCTTTGGTCCAGTCGCTTTGGGAAGAAACATGAAGGTCTATCATTTCAGAAATTTTATCTTCGCTGATCAACTTGAGATAAGTGCCTTGCTTGTATAGTCTAGCATTTTTGACCACCACGGCACGAAGCATCGGCTGGCGTCTTGCGAGAAGGATCAAAGCCTTTTCCACATGCTTTTTCAAGAGTTTCTTCTTGGATTTCAATGACAAAACCAAACATAAAATGCCCGCTCCGTCTCGGTTTTCATACCGCAGATAATATAGATCTTCGTAAATACCTAGAAACCTGCCACCGGTCGATAGGCCAGGATTAGTTACTTTCATTACCATTAGAAGAATGTGATATAACACCATTGTCAATACAGCGAAGAACAGCACCTGAAACACTGTGTCTATGTGACCCATTTCCATTGCAGTTCTAGATTTACACACACTTGTAGCCGAGCGCTAGACAACTACAAAATGCAGCGAAGCATATTATATTAATATCAAGCCTTGTTCTCATAATTATGCCATCGACAATACGGCGTTGCATTGAATGTCTTTTTCAGGTATAGTGTATGCAAAGCACGACATTTAAAATAGATGACGTCACATGATGTCAGGCGGCCATATTTGTGTACCACTTCAAAGTTCAAATGTAAAGTATTACCTACAGTTCGATGATGTAAACCAATGAATGAGGTTATGACATAGGTGTGAACCTTGTACTTTGTAACTCGGTTCAAACTCGTCACGAAACCATGAAGAAAGTTATCATTGCACTTTGTGGGCAGCAAGTGGCAAAGTTTTGTTATAATGTTGGGGTCAGGTGTCAATTGGGGCGCAAGTTCTGTTCCTTTCCTCTGTCGCACTTTTGTCCTCTGTTATTGTACATGTGTTTGTGCGTGATAATTGTATCTTGACAAATGATTAAATAAATAAAACAATTCATTGAAAATGTATCAATAATTTTATGTCGTCGAACACTTTGTTTACAACACTAAACAAGTAAACAACAACATTAAACAAGTGAACAACAGCTTAAAATACGACTAATAAGCTATAGCGTGGTTTATTTCAATTTCATTGCAATTGTTTTGAAAATTTTATGCTGGAGACGCCATCGATGAAGATGTAACTCTCATCCTCAGCAATATATTAATTTATCGTTAAAACAACTCGCCAAGACAATTTAGTGAACGGTTTCTTTGATAGCTCGCTCCAAGCTTTGGTCCAGTCGCTTTGGGAAGAAACACTGAACTATATACTGCTTATCCCCTAGGGGTAAAATAAGCTCGAAAATCGATTCCTGGGGTAAAATTACTGAACTATAATTCTGAGTATAATAGATCTCAATGAGCTATTTACAATGAGCTTTTGGAAGCATAAATTAACTATCAGCCCTTGACCCCTTCCAACGAGTTCACAGTAAACGTGTACTGAATATTTACGTTTTCTTGCAAAGAAAAACTGGCGGAATAAATTTATATCTGCAATTGTAATCTTTCGATCTCTTTAGTACGACCATTCAGTATAAATCAACATAAAATTCTTCCCTTCTTAGCAAAGGGCATGATGGATAGATGGATCCTAGCTCACGGCTTTTTCACCTTGGCGAGGGGTTTTAAATGTGCGACTTTTATATGTCTTTTATCTTCGTGTATTTGAAGGTTCGACAAAAACAAGGCGTACAGAAGAAGAATGCGAGATAAGATTGACGTCGAAAACAAGGTACTTGAGATATTAGGTTGTTTACTGACCTACCATGCTGATCGGACAATCTTAATGTAATTTTCGCTAAAGCAAGTAAGGACTGCTTTCCACTGTCCGGTTTTTTACACGCGGAACGGTAAAAGAAATGCTTTCAAATTATTATTATTATTTAACACATGGGTCAACAAATTCATACTAAAATATGCGGAAAACTAAGTTATTTCGATTCATTCAGCTAGCTTTTTCAAATATAACATATGCAAGGATCTAGACTTTTGACGTACGTATGAAAAACGTGACTTCAGGAAAGCAGCCGCGAAGAGCAAATGTCTCAGTTGAAAAAAAAAAGTGCATTAAACGAAGAATCTGAGCGAAAATTCTGTAAAGAAAGATGGGTCTTGTCATTTTCCTAAAAACACGAATCTTAAACTGCGTAATGTCATTTTTCAATTGTCATCTTGGCATGGCGTGTGTAATCTTTCAAGTTTTCAATGTCGCATTTTATTCCTTCAGCAAATGTTAAGAAGATTGCATAACAGTAAATCACAGTATAACCGAAGTGATTGGGTGAGTTTGCTTTATATTTCATTATCATTGAAAATTATTTATTTTATTTTGTTATTTTAAAGCTCGGGCCTTAGCAGTGAGTGTTCGTGCGAGAGTGCTCATTTTCAAACAATCGTTTTATCTTTATAAAGCACTCGAACTGGACATTTTGTTTCGTAATTTTTAGGATAAAAGCTTTGCGAGGCATCAAAGGTATCAAGCGATTCTACAAAAGAGGCGAAAACCTTGGCAGGTCAGATCATACCGAGAGTTAGGCGGTGCCTTCATTTTGGTAGGTTTTGTATACAAATATTCGCCTGCTTGAGACGCCACTTGTAGTTTTACGCCTATTTAGCATTCACCGGTTCTCTCTTTCAGAATTCACCAAGAAAGAAGCGAAAAATCGCTGTGAGTTCTGCAGATTATGTTATTTAATTTGCTTTCAAGCAATGCTGTTTACTTGCTTGTTAACTTGATTGGCTTAATGCTTAGCCTTAGTCTCCAATATTTCGTAAGCGTGGTGGTGAACATCAGTGTCAAGGTGGCTGATGTGATTGAATATTTCTATGTGTATGCAGTCAACAATGACCGATTTGGATGCAGAAATAATAAAGACAAATTTACATCGGCACTATTTCCCATCGGTGAAGATGACTTATTCACGACAATTACGACAAATGGAAACCTGACTTAAGCAACATGTTTAAGAGCGATGTTTATCATTTTTAGCATTGTTGTTGTTTTCATTGTTTCTGCTGCCATTGTCGCGATCTTTTCTGTTATTGCTTGTCGTTGTTGTTATTGTTCTTTATCTACTTTTGCTTTTTTTTTTGTTGATATTGTTGTATTTTGGCCAACAAATGCTTTTCATTTTTAGAAAAAGGAAATAGTGGAAAGCAGTGATTATGAAACCTCGACTGAGGATGACACCGAAGATGATGATGATGGTCAAACTGAGGTTTGATTTGACCCGAGATTTGAGAGAAAACCATTTGAATTTCTAAATGCGTCACTATTCTGATGATTAAAACATTTTTTACTGCCTTTTCTGGATAGAAAAACTCCGATGATGAAAGGAAAAGTTGCTTACTACCAGAGATCACGGTTGGTATATGCAAACCTATGAAAGTGATTTTATTTAACAAATTGCTGAATTAGGAGAACTATCTGCCATTTTCCTGGCTCTTTTACCACATCCTTTCGCGCATTGTTGATATTTTGAATATTTTCTTTTCAGTCTGCAAAGAGCAGAGCGCGAAGCCGCGGAACAATGTCCGCAAAATCGAAAGATGAAGAACCGCTGAAATTGCCGCCCTTGAACGGAGACGAACCGATGAACGAAGAACAGACGAAAGAGGAACCCAAAGTTGAAGAATTAGACGATTATCAAAAGCTCGTGAAAGCAATTGAAGGTAAATTCTCTGATTACTGTAGTCAAGGCGTTTGAATAACCTGAGGCAATTGAACCTTCGTATGCAAATTAGGATTAGCTTTGAATACAAAATAGGGTAGAAAAATAGCGAAAGATAGTCCTACAAAGTATCATAACCATCAATTTCACTCAATTTAATTATTTTCAATCACGTTTTATAACAAAATTGAAAGGGTTTGAAGATATAGTACAAATTTTCAATTGCATTATCTGAAATCTGTTTCAACGTTTAGATGGCGACAAATCTACTGTGCTTGACATCATTGCTCAGACTTCATGGGAGAAGAAAGGACTGGACGAACTTCACGAAAGATACGACAATGATCCAGAAAATGAAAAGGTATGCATAACCTATGCTCTCTTTCGTTTGTTGATGAATTGGATTACGGATCAGTTCGTATGAAACAGCCCAACAAGATTTGGAGTTGGTCATGATCGGTAAATATTAGTTCGGTCGAGAAGTGGATGATTATCATAACCTTCAGTTAAAGAAAGCAATGTAAACAAAACTTACAAACGTTTCATCCATTCCTACTTTATTACGTGGTTTGTAAAGATTTTAATGTCACCACAGTTGCTGTAAAACAATTTTTCTTCCAGCAGCAATAGAAAGGGTGAAATGTATGGATGCTTTGATTCCTATCAGGGCCTCGCGGTTTGAATGGACATCAGCATTGCACTTTCCTTCTTTTATGTCATCATCTGATCAAATGATCATCGTTCTTAAATTTTCATTTGTTCTGTTCAGGATTTAGTCGACGTTGTAAAGTCAACGTTCGAAGGAGAAAACAAAGATGCACTTTTGGCTCTTCTTCTTCCGAAACCACAGTATGAAGCCATGTGTTTGCATAACGCTTTGAAGGTATTCTCGTAAAGCTTTGCAATGATTATTTTTTAAAAAAAAGTCTTTTATACTCCCTGACTTTCTTTGAATACACATTTGAATTGTAATTTCGTTTCCAATCAAGGGAATGGGCACAGACGAAGATACTTTGGTGGAAATTCTTGGAAGCCGAAGTAACGCGGTATGTTGAACGATATTGTCCCGGTGGTGTAAGTGAACAGTGCTCACATTCACTACCCAACGCCATTAATGATTCACTTTCAATGGTTATTTGAGCAAGACCACACTCTCTTTTTATCGATATAACGCACGATTGTAACCACAGGGAATGTTTCATTTTTATCAGGAAATTGCCGAGATAAAGCAAGCTTATGAAAAAGGTATGATTAATATCAATTCACGTGTGCAGAGACTTTAGGTGTGTGTAGATTTAACTAAGTAGCTTCGCATGATAAAATGCGATTCGCATTTGAGTGTGCGACTTTTTTTCCTTGAATGCCTTGCAGAGTATAATTCCACGTTAGAAGATGATATCAAGGCTTCGACGTCCGACGGATTTCAGAAATTTCTCTTGCATTTAAGCGAGGTACGTACGATCTTGCATTGTTTTGCCAGTAAGCTTGTGAGGTGAATAACCAAACTTAAGCGCTTACATGCATTTTATCCAGTGGTAATATCATTTTTTACGCTCATCAGGGTGCTCGCGATGAAAATCCAAATATAAATAAGAAAGCGATGTCTGCCGATACAAAAGATCTGCTGAAGGTAAATTAATATTAGTTTTGAAGCAATGCGTAAACGACATAACCCACCATATTCTATCTTCTTTTTGAAATGAGTGTCAACGACAATACCCCAGACTCATTCTAATTCGCTTGCGCATGCTATCAATTGTTCTTTTCATCCCAACGTTCTTTACGCACACCGTCTTTGCATGCAGTTGCATTTAAAGAAAATAATTGTTTCATTGTGTCTAGTCCGCAAGAACACGAAAATGGGCGACCGATGAAGATGCATTCGCCGAGATATTTAGTCAAAGAAGTCTTCCACAACTTAAAGCTTTACTACCAGAATACAAAAAGGTTTTAGCAAAGATTCTAACGTCTCCTGGTGGACCTTCCTAGGACGTTCTCATTATTCAATTTTGTGCAACTTTTTTCTATTTTTTAGTCGGCAAAAGTGGAGTTAGAGGAAACCATTGAAAAGCAGACCACGGGAGAGCTTCAGAATGGTTCCAAAACAATGCGTAAGAACTGAGTATTTCTAGCGTCTGAAAGTATTATAGTGAGTGGTTTAGAGTATGAAATATGATTTCTAGTGAAAATTGTTCGCAACCATCCGAAGTATTTGGCTGAGAAGCTCCACGAGGCTCTGCACGATGGTGATGAAGTAAATTACGAGACACTCTCAAGGCTTCTAAACACTTCCGACAAGGTAGGATGGTCATCTGGATCGCATCTGATCTTATTCGTGAAAATTAAGCAGAGTAGGTATAATTTCACTGAAGAAGGGCCTCAATGATATGTTTTTCCATCAGAATGAACTGAAAGCTGCCAAAGCCGCCTACGAGAAAGCATACGGAACGCGTCTCGAAGATGATATTAAAGCAAAATGCAACGAAGATATGCAGAAGTTGTTTGCGCCTGTTTTACAAGGTAGCAGAATGACAGCAGTATAAATAATAAGAGCTGTGCTGCTCTTTTTTAATGTTCTTTTTCTTATTTATGTTTGTTAAAATTATAGTGTTTAGATAAACACGAGTCATATTTGGAAAGTTTAAAAAATGCATTTGCAATTTCTTAGACGACGGCGCTCCAGCAGTTGAAGAAGAGAAGAAAAAGGTAGCATATTACAACGTTTTTTGCTATAGTTCACTGGTTGGTTTGAACGCCAATTGGACATTGGAATTTGAAAGCATTCGGTTTGCGTTTTTACACAGTGTGGTTTAGCGTTCGGTTCACGGCGGCGAAGATATTGAGCACGACTTTGATATTTACTAAAAATGGAAAGTAGGTCCATAGTTTATAACATGGTTGACGTTTCTCTTTCTTTTTTTTTCAGGGGAAGAAGAAGAAAGGTGCTAAGAAAGGAAAGGAAGAACAAAAAGTAGAGCAGAAAAAGGAAGAAGAAAATCCTGAAGAACAGAAAAAAGAAAAAGAAAAAGAAAATGCGGAGGACGTTCATCTGGTAAGAACTGAGATGGGTTTGACCGGCAAACAAATGAAAATGGAAAATCACTAACAAGAGATGAAGTTTCCTTAAAGGGTAAAGACACATCATTTGAACGATGGCTCTTTACCCTTTTTGCCTTTTGAGATCCCATCATGGGCTAATTTTTTTATAACCGACAAACCAAATCTCTTGGCTCTTGTTCAATTACTTTGTGACTTGTATTTCTTCTTGGTTTAAAGGCCAAATATCGCGGAACTGTTGTACCAGCTGCAAATTTCGATGCAATGAAAGATGTAGAATTTGTTAGAGGCGCCCTTGGTATGTAACATTATATTCTACCATAAAATACCATTAGATTGTTAACATACCATATCATATTCCAAACTACTGTATACCTTATTACATTGTCATAAGGCATACAGCTATCATGTTCCAAAAAAATCCTAAGCTGTATTGATTTGTTATTTGTTATTCAAGTATACAAAGACAGAGATGGTGTGATAAAAAGATTGACATCCAGAAGCAATCAACAACGCCAAGTTATTGCGAAGAAATTCAACATACGTTACAAACAGGTAATAGCCCTGACAGAGGCAACTTCGCAAGCCAGGCTTTACTCACTGACAGAGATGTTGTAGTGTTTATGAGTTTGTTTTGTTGAGATTAAACTTGCTTTAGGCTTTGTTGTGTGGATTTACCATCGAGTCTAACCTGAATTGAACCACAAGAGAGCATACAACTTGTTATATTTAGTTTAATCCTGTCTTCGTTTATATTAATTAGGATTTGGTGCAGTTGTTGAAGTCGGAATTTGGTGTAACTTTGACTGATGCAATTGATGCGCTTATGGCGCCGCCGAGTGTGCAAGATGCACGAACGTTACATGAAGCAATGGGGGTCAGTGATCATTTAAGTCTTAAAACATTCTGCTGTGTTTCTTGTCAATGCTAAATAGATTCTTTGTGCTGATATGCAGGGACTTGGAACAAAAGAGAAGGATTTAATTGATATCATCTGTTTCCGAAGAAATAAGGTAAAATGGACGTTGTTTGCATGGTCGGAGTAAAATAAGAATGAAAACTTTAAATTGATGCTAGAACTGACACGCTTTATATTTGGGTAACTGAGTTGTTTTAGTACTTTTTAATTTTTTTTCTGTCTGATTGACCTACAGGACATCACGGCCTTCAAAGAGTCTTATGAGCAAGGTAAATTGCTTTTTCGTTCAATCTTTTTGTCGAAATTTGAAGGTACTACGGCTTGTTTATGATGCTTCATTTCATAGAATTTCAGCGAAATTTAGAAGACGATGTACGAAACGAAACGAGTGGGGATTTCGGCGATTTCCTAATCATGCTATTACAGGTAATTCATGATAGATATTCTTTAAAAGGTTAATTACTTTGGATCCTTATTATTGGCCATTTCTCGTTAAACCTATTTGGAACGGTTTACCAAGTGATGGAGTTTTGTTTTCTTTTCTCCCAGGCAAAAAGAAGTGAAAGCAACGAAGTCAATGAAAGTGATGTGAAAAAAGACGCAAAAGCTCTTCTTGAGGTATGAATTTTTTAATACATTTGTTCAATGTTTGTTGTAAATTTGAAATATAACACCCAACAATCTTTCCGGCTTTCCTCAATTGTCTCGCAACACAGTACAAGTAATGGTTTGTCTACATTGTTTAAAACTGTCCCACATCCAGTATAGATGCATTTTAGTTTTAAGCGAATTGATGTATCAGCGTTTAGTTAGTCCAGCATATGGTGTATGTAATTTTCCAGGCAAGTGAAGATCAGTTGGGAACAGATGAAGAAGCGATTGCCGAAATCTTGACTTCTCGAAGCAGACCTCATTTGAATGCAGTTTTTGCAGAATTCAAACAAGTATGTTAATGAATGTTCCTCGTACATTTAGCGCTTACACCATAGTTAATGTAAGATTATGCTGCAACTGTGAGGTCTATTTACATTATTCTCGTAATCACTAGATTGCAGATCGTGATTTCACGGAATCCATGATGTCCGAATTATCTGGTGATCTCCTCAAAGCTGTTCTCGCTGTCGGTGAGTTTGAGATAATTTTTGATGCAATATTTGTAAACTGTTGACGAGGTTATACAGTCCTCAATTGCAAATCTTATGCTTATTTTTCAGTGTCCAACATGTCCGGAGCAATCGACTATTACGCTGAAAAAACCACTCAAATTCTGTCAGATGATAAAGCTTTAACGAATTTCATTGCTTCTCGTTCGGAGGTAAACTCAAGGCGTTTTCCCCAGTCTGTTTGTCGTAGCTAGGTTTACTGTGAACAATACCTTGCATACGATTTCAGAGTTTTCCAATAACGTCTAATATCACAGAAAGTCACACAAAAGAACACGATACTAATTTTGCTTTTTTTTCCAGATTGATATGGCTGACATAAAGGAAGCGTATTCATCGCAAAATGGTCGTGATCTTGGAGAAGATATACAGAAGAAGCATAAAGGAAATCGAAGAAAAATTCTCCTTGGTTTGTTAAAAGGTACGTCAGCGATCGACTGTCGTTACTGACAAACCGACTGTTCCTTTCGAGGAAGTACTTGAAGAAAAGTTTCAAAGACTCAATCTAGAGTCAGCCAAATAAATGTATACAATAAAAATATGTTAATCGTGATAAGACGGGTAGATCACTGCATATTCTGAAATAGCATCATTAAATACGTTTTCTAATTTTTCTTTTTGATGCGTAGAAGAAGATCCAACAGCGACGGTAAGATTCGATGCAATCATACCCTCTACAAAATACGATACAAAATATACATCAGAAATATACTGTGAAGGAACACGAGATATAGGAACTATAAACTGATTTCCCCTGAAATTTGTATAATTTTCCAGGGCCCAAAAAACTCCAGGAAGAAAAAGGGAAAATCACAAAAGGAGGTGACGTTGTCCTAACCGTCTATAAATTGTAACAAATACAATTTATTTTTCATATTAAACAAACGTTGATAAATGTAATTTTCAGTCTGAATATCATCCTACTGTCACGGCGGCAAAACACTTCAGTTCTGGTCGAGATGCTGAGCTCATTAAAGCTTCTTTAGGTAAAATAACTTTTTTGTTTCCCGATGCGCCTTTTGATCCACGATGATAGCAAAGATGGCGGATGTACATTAGTACTAGAACGAGTGCAGTTCAAAATTGTTTATGAGAGTAAATTGACGTTCCTTGAAAGAACAACAGAAAAAGTGGGAGGTTATTTTCATTTTACGAAATGCACAAACGCCATCTTTTCTTTTCATTGTGGTGTCAACGCGCGTTTGCGAAATTGTGTTATATTTGGTTATGTTAATACATTTCAACATCCGCTTATACGATTTCCACTCTTATTCAATGACTTCCACATAGGAGTTGATACGGACGCCATAATAATGGTGATTGCTGCTCGCAGTAATAAACAACGACAGGAAATCGTTCAAAAATATCAAATGATGTACGAAAAGGTAACCGCATCACGTTCCACGAATGAAGCTATTTACAAGAAGTTAAACATTTCCATCCAAAGATGCGGTTCCTCTAGTTATATTTTCTTGTTGGGTGACTTTTTAGGACCTGATAAAGCAACTTACATCTATATTTGGTTCTGGTTCGGAAGCTATTCTTAAACCATTGTTTACTTCACCTGACATTTTTGAAGCTACGCAGTTGAAGGAGTCGATGGAGGTGAAGCTTCTCTCTCTTTTAATGATTTGAGGATCAGTTTCATATTAATTACTTCAATTACAGGATATTTTTTATGCATGTAATCTGAATATGTAATCTGAAACTTTCAGGGAGCCGGCACAGACGAAGATGTTCTCATTTCGGCGATTTGTCTAAAGAACAACGAGGTATTGAAACAATAATGTATACGACGGATCCATGCAAGGATTTTTCGTTTCACTTTTTATTGAGAAGATAGCTACAGCATGTTTGTTGTTTTATTTCAGGGTATAGCAAAACTGAAGGAATCTTTCCAAAAAGGTTCGTAATAAAGTTTAATTGGTTATATATTTGAAGACCATGTGTGGATGAGAAGAATGTAGACACATGAAGATGCCATGATGATAGTTAACAACTTATTTTTTACAATATCTGCAGTTGTTGGCAAAAGTCTGGTTGACGTGGTAGAGAGTGAAACCAGTGGAGATTTTCGAACATTGCTGTTGCGACTCTTACAGGTTTGTTGCAGTCTTCATTTTCCTCCAATTATTTCATTTCCTGCAACTATCAAAGATTAGAAAAGATAATTTATTTCTCTCCCAGGGCAAAAGAGATGAAAAAGATACCGTTGATCAAAAGATTGCTGAACAAGACGCTAAAGCACTTCATCAGGTGAGCTTGATTAAATTTGTAGAAATTTAACGTTTTCCTAGAATTCTGAATTTCTGATTCTACATCGTTTTGTCACGACAGTTAAGTATATTTGCTTATTTCATTAATATTTTCTTTTTTCTTGTAAAAAATAGGCTGGTGTTGAAAAGAAATTTGGAACAGATGAGTCCACCTTTATAGAAATATTTTCAAGCAGAAGTAAAGCTAGTCTGAAAGCAACTTTTGAGGAATATAAAAAGGTCTGTCATACTATGCTATGTCATAACATGCTATCCTATGCCCTGCCATGGCATCCCATGCTATACTATGTCATATCGTACCATACGATACTGGTACGTCTTCAGATACAATACCAGCAAAGAATCTTTTATTACCAATTGTAGATCGCGGAATGTGATATTTCAGAGTCTCTAAGCAGTGAACTGAGTGGAAATTTTGAAAAAGCGATGGTGTTAATAGGTACAGCATACTAACTAAATCTTCAATAAGATATGGCTTGGTACTTAGGTAGTGTTAATTGACTTTTCATTTTGAATTTTAGCTAATTCGTGTCAACATAACTCGCCATTGGTGTACGCGAAGCAGTTACAGCGTGTGAAGGACATCTCCAGGGAATTTGCTTTTTACTTGTCCAACAGAGCAGAGGTAAACGTGACTATACAATAAATTACGCTCTCTCGAACATTGATTGTGATAGCTTGCAGTCGCTACACCCCTCCAACTCAGTCAGTGACAATTTTGACATGATATTCCTGGTGCAAATAGATCTTCCATGCAGGACCCAGGTCGTTATCGTATAAGTTTTGTTTTGAGTATGGATTTTTTTCCATTCGATTTTTCCTCTTCTTTCTAAAGGTCGACATGGTGGAGATAAAGACTACGTATTCTGAAGAATTCAAAGAAACTTTGATGGATGAAATCATGATTCGTTATGAAAATGATCAGAAGAATCTCCTCATGGCTTTAATAAAAGGTAAGTCGTGTTTAAGCCAAAGGCTCGCTCGATTTTAAAGCCTATAATAATGAGCATTGTGTGCGAATAACTGGATTCAAACTTATACCATTCTTTTTCTTCCCACTAAAACAGAATGGAAGCAAGGAAGAAAGGTACGTGCGTGTGTCAATAGACAGTAAATGGAAACCTTTTGAGGATCTCCAATCCTAATTCCTTTTCATCTCTGTAAATTTTGCCCGGCTATAGTTGTGATCATTAGAATTGCCGCCCCAAGTCTAACGCTATTATTCCACTCTTGTGTGTCTGACATAAGAGAAATCTTAGATCTAGTGGATTATGCTCTGATTCCTTAGGACATATGATAGTGCTATGTTTGAGATCCATGGTCACCTTCCCTGAAAAATTTTTCATCATGTTTTCACTCTGATAATAAACGTTACTCTACATCGTTTTTCAGGATATAACTCAACCTCCAGGCCAGGGAGAAGCAACGAAATATCATCCAACTGTCCCTCCAGCGATCAACTTCAACGCTTCAAACGATGCAGAGTCCATTCAAAAAACGCAAAGTAAGTAAATTTTCTACTTATCCGTTTGCTATTTCATGTATTTCGAGTGGTAGTTAATAATATAACTATTTTACGTACACACAAAGGAAACAACTTTCTTGACTTCTGTTTCATCAATATCATTTTTGTTTTAGGCTCTGCGTTTGATATGGACGAAGTTATTATGCTTCTGGTCAGACGAACTGTTCAGCAACGTAATGAAATTGCTTCAGAGTACAAAACTAAATACGAAAAGGTATATATCAGACAACATAATTACAAGCTCTATTCTCGATTCTGTTACAAACACGTCAAATTATGATAACACATTTAGTTCGTGGATCCACAGCATTTGCACAAAAATACAAACTTTCAAACTTTCGTTTAAATAGGATCTTGTTAAAGAGCTTGAGGGTGAGCTTGCTGTCGAACCATCACTGATCCAAGCTTTGTTTGAGAATCCTGCTGATATTGTTGTCAAGAATTTACAGAAGGCGACAAAGGTAGGAATGAATTTTGAACGGCATGTTTTAGCATTTGATTCGACTAAACGACTTTTTTCTGGTAGGGTGTGGGAACTGATGAAAAGACACTCCTTGGGGTGATATGCAGTAAAACCAACAAGGTAGACTTGGAATGATTTTCGCAAGAGTTCTTCTCGTTTTTGGTCCTATTCGATCGAAGGATGCATATTTAACTTTCAGTATAATCAACAATTTTATAATCTATCCTCTTATAGGAAATCGAAGAGATAAAGAAGTCCTACTTCGCAGGTAAGTAACTTAGAACACGGTTGAGATTCGTAAATGAAGATCATCCATTAGTCATTATCTTCAATACGTGTGATCTAGTATTTGAGATGGACCTTTTTATTCACAGCCGTTGAAGAAGAGCTCAGTGACGTAGTTGCCAAGGAAACGAGCGGAAAGTTTCAGGAACTGCTCCTTGAAATCTTAAAGGTATGATTGAATAGTTTTTGCGCAGTTCCACCGATCCCGTTATCAAAAAGTCACATGCATGAATAAAATAAGCGGTAACTTGAACCTCCACCTTTTAAACGCCCATTTGATCTAATTAAACACCAGAATTTAGTCCATTAGCTTGGCAAACACTAGTGCAGTAATTTTCACCAATATTCTAGTTAGTATCAATAAGTATTTGTATTTAGGCTGAAAGAAATGAAAGCCCCGAGGTAGTAGTGGATGATGTAAATGAAGATGCTAAAGCTTTGTACAAGGTAGTCGATGGTTCCCTTACTTCCTTCTTCATAAAGTGCACAAGAGCTTCAGCAAACTAGTTTTGTTTTTGCACGAAAATTCTGACCTTTAGGGTAACTTCCTTTCCTTTTTCTACAAATTTCAGGCAGGTGACAAAAAATGGGGAACAGACGAAGGGGTTTTTGTCGATATATTTTCCCGTCGGAGTCATCCGCATCTAAAAGCAGTGTTCAAAGAATTCAAAAAGGTAAAAGGATCCATCTTTATTAAGATGATTATATGAAACTGTCACTTGATTGATGAATGAAAAGGACATGTTTAAACATCTTTTTTCTGATCATTCGTTCCTTCAACAGCTCTCCAAACGTGACATTACCGAGTCCCTGCGCGCTGAGTTGAGTGGAGACATTCTTGATGCGTTGCTTCTGATAGGTTTGTGATATTTCATTCCATCATGAAGTGGGCTGTTTTAGTTCATTTGCTGTTATGTTGAATGCAAATTTCAAGACTTGTGCTGTTTTGAATTACGGAAGAGTGTTTCTTTTACCTTTCAGCATCTGTCTCTGAGCAAGGCGAGCTGACTCCCATCTGTTCTGAGTTAAAAGGAAAGTTATCCGAAAAGAACGACTTCATGCACCTTGTTATTGCTCATTCGGAGGTGAATAAAAAACGTTAACGTGACCTTTATTGTAATCCTTTTGGTTTGTTAAGAATAGTTCCAAAACATAACTTGTTATAACTTTTATTTAAATGAGTGATATACCTGAGGAGTCATGCATGGAACTACCACAAAACAACTGCATTATGTTTAAGTAAAACCATACAGTATTTATCCTAAAAACAGTGCTCAGGAATAAACAAACTACAAAGGACAATGAACATTGAACTCAGTAAGCCCATTCAGTTGTAATGTTCATCGTTTTAGGTCGATATGGTTGAAGTAAAAGAGGAATATAAGAAACAACATCAAAGTTCTCTTGCGGATGATATAAAGAAGACCTATGAAGGAAATCTTGAGAAAATTTTGCTGGGTTTGATTAAAGGTGAGTGGTGATGTAAAAGTGATTGGAAATTTGAAAAAAATTGGACTAAACTTCCCCCAAATTTTGTCAGACTTACAAGGGAATGGGTGTCATGGTGCAATTAAAATGGTTTTGTTGAATTGCATGAATAATGCAACGTATAACGTGATCAATTAGTAGTGGTCTAATTCATGATTGTGAAAAGCGACGTGCTTTCTCTTATGTTGGTCTAAGTTTTTTTCTGAATAAAATAGCTTTTTCTGTCCTCGCTGAATAAGTTGAAGTATAATAATAAACTTTTTCAATTTTATTGTCGATATATAAATGTTTTTGTATAAATGTTTTTGTATTAATGTTTTTCTTCTTTTTCAATTAGAATGGAAGCCATTTGCTAAGGTAATATTTGTGTAGTTAACTTAACAATCTAATAAATAAACTAATTAGGCAATCTCTGATTCAGTTTGATAAAGAAATCATATAATCATGTTTACTCAATCGATATTTTTCTCCATATTCCCCTTAGACTCTAGGAGCGAAGGCCGCAGCCAAGGACGGCAAAGATGACAAAGAATATCATCCGACCGTAACGCCTGCTGGGAATTTTAACGCCGGTAAAGATGCTGATACATTATTTAATGCAAACGGTAAGTGTGCGATGTACATGTGTCACTTATGAAAAGGTCGCATTAGGTTTTAAATAATGGATTTAATAAGGAAATCCAGAAGCACATATCTAAAATCACGCATTCGTTGTGTGAATATACCTATCATAGTTTTAACTAATATTGATTCCATTTTTTAGGTAAAGACACGAATGTGACAATAATGCTGCTGGCCGCGAGAATCAAAGATCAGAGAAAGGAGATTAGGAAAGAATATGAAAAGAAGTACAATGTGGTATGGAGCAGGATACATAATTATTCTTTTTAAATCTCTGCATTGTAACTATCTGGGTTTCTGTCGTACTCTGTCTGACACGAAAGACAGTTTCACTCTCGTTAAATCCTAATGTTTTAAAATTCCTTCCACAAGAACTCAATACTTATTCAACATATCTGAAATTTGGATCAATTTGTTGAACACAGTTTATCTACATCTGATGAAAGTGCACGATCCACATTTTTTTCTAGGATTTGCTTGAAGATATAAGCGGACATTTGAATATAAAGCGACCAAATTTGATACCATTATTCGAGACCGACCATCATTCCTTAGCACAGAGCTTACACAGCGCTATGAAGGTAGATTAACCCCATTAATCTTATTTTACGAAATATGATTCAATTTGATTGTTATAAATTCCAAAAATCCACCTATGCTATAGTATGCTTTATGGCACAATGCCGCGGGAAACAATCACTTGGAACATATTGTCGCTCGCTAAGTTTGTAATTCTTAATTTTAATGTTCCATTAGGGATTTGGTACGGATGAAAAAGCATTAATCGACATACTTTGCGTTCAAGATAACAAGGTAGAAATATTAAATGAGTCCTATTGTCGAAACTTACCTGAAAATATATGGACAATTGATTTCGTGCAAAGACAAATTCTCTAGTATCAATTTTGATTGTTCTTTTCTGAATTGGGAATATGTTCACATGCATTGATTTTTCAAACTATTTTTGTATTTGTCTAGAATATCAAAGAACTCAGCGAATTGTATGAAAAAGGTGGTTTATTTTCGTCCTGTGTATACATGAGAAATAAGAAACTATTTACTGTAGTATCTTTCAGACGTGCAGGCTTCTGTGCTTCAAATGGCGTGTCAATAATTTATTTGTGAAATTTTAGAATATGGAAAAGCATTGGCTGATGCAATATCTAGCGAAACTGGAGGAGAGTTGAAGAATTTCTTGCTGGAAATACTGCAGGTATTGAAGCATTCTCATTCTGATTATCAAAATAAGAAAATGCGAAGTTAAATGATATGTGGTATATTTTTGGGTGGTGAAGAAGTTCGCTGAATCTGTATCATTACAAAAAATTTTTATCGATTTAGGCTGACAGACGAGAAAACCAGCCAGCGAGCGAGAAGCAAGCCGTGTCTGACGCTACAGCATTGTACGAGGTCAGTGCAATTTATAACCTGCTGGATGTATAGTGATGTACTACAAGATGATGATCGATGTGGTCAAGAAAAACAAAGATGTTATCTTGCAAATTTGACAATAATGATCATTTCAATGTTTTAGGCTGGTGAGAAAAAATGGGGGACTGACGAGTCGAAGTTTATCAAAATCTTGACGTCAAGGAGCAGAACTCATTTGAGACAGGTTCTGGTTGAATATAAAAAGGTAAAAAGAGACTTGTGGTTGTTTGTGTTGTTTTTCACTATATTTAATCACTGTACAATCTAGTTGGTAGTGGTAGAACTGGTAGAACTTAGTGGTAGAACTACTGGGATTCATTTTTCGACTTAGCGTCTACTTTTATTTTTTGTTTTAATGTTTTTAGATTGCTAACAAGGACCTCGTTGATTCCCTGAAGGACGAGTTGACTGGCGACCTTGAATATGCTTTAATAACCCTTGGTAAGTCAGAAATTTACGAAAGAAGTATAATATCCCTATATCCTTGGATAAAACAGTTTGCTAAAGAAACAATAGACATAATTATATAGGTTGTAGTTGATACATTTCCCCGTTTTTTTAGTTTCCTCCATAAAAACAGAAGGAATTCCACACTCTTGCAACTACTTGAAGCAGTCACTCGGAAACTCCACAGCTTTTACTACTTCACTTTCTCACAGAGCTGAGGTAGGAGTGTGTGTATTTTCCTATGTTATCCTTTCCTTAGATAGAGAGGAAGATTAGTCAATTTATTTCAAAAGTGCGTCCTTAACCTTTTTCGATATCTGGCTTCTTTTTTAGATCGATACGGTGGAGATAAAGGAGGAATACAATAAGATGTTTTCGACTCCTCTGGCCAGTGACATCAGTCAGAACTTTACTGGGAATTTTTCGAGTCTACTTTTAGCTCTAATAAAAGGTATTAGTGTATTTCTTACTTAACCACACAACGAAGATAACCTTCTTATAATGTGGATGCAAACAGAACGCCATCCTGACTTCCACGCAATTCTTTAATCCTTCACCTTTACCTCAATGCAATCTAATCTAATGCAATCTCGGAATTTGAAAGTTATGCTATTTGACCGGAAATGATAAACTGAACTTATGTAATCTTTTCTTTTCCACAGAATGGAATCCACAGCCAAGCGAGGTAAAAACGTTATTATGTAATCCTGTAAATATTAGGAAATTTGATTTACGGCATAATATAAGGGCATAGAGTGTTTCCGTTTCTCGTGAAAACATGAAATTTTAGTTCAGTTAAGTTGCGATTTTGAATGCAGAAAACAAAGAAGAAAGGCGAGGTTGATGGCAACGCAGCTACACAGTATCATCCAACAGTAACACCAGCCAAACCATTTAATCCTGTGAAAGATTCTGACGTGATTAGAAAAGCCATTGGTGAGTAATAAAGAATCATTCGAACCATAATGTTGGTGACTTGTTAGGTTACGACTTATGGATGAAATTGGCCATTTTTCCCTAAAAAACCCCCCTTGATTCTTCCAGGTTTTTTCCCCCAGATTAACCAACAACATCGACTGTGATATCTTTTTGTCACTTCTTTCAGTTAAGAATCGTTTTCGTTAAATATGAACTTTCTTTCCGTAGGTAAAGACAAGCAGGTGCTGATTGAAATCCTCAGCTCCAGAACCATCGAACAAAGGCAGGCGATATCCACAAAGTACAAAGAGAGATTCAACAAGGTAAGTGTGTTTAGAGACGACTATAAGGTGCCATCATATTTACTCAAGAAAATTATGTTATATGGCTGCTTGTTCTTTAGTTGTCCTTTAATTAATTGTCCTTTAGTAGTCCTTTAGTTGTCCTTTAGTTGTCCTTTAGTAGTCCTTTAGTTGTCCTTTAGTCTTCCTTTAGTTGTCCTTTAGTTGTCCTTTAGTTGTCCTTTAGTTGTCCTTTAGTTGTCCTTTAGTTGTCCTTTAGTTGTCCTTTAGTCTTCCTTTAGTTGTCCTTTAGTTGTCCTTTAGTTGTCCTTTAGTTGTCCTTTAGTTGTCCTTTAGTTGTCCTAGTTTTTGTTCCTTTAGTTGTTTTAGTTGTCCTTTAGTTGTCCTTTAGTTGTCCTTTAGTTGTCCTTTAGTTGTCCTTTAGTTGTCCTTTAGTTGTCCTTTAGTTGTCCTTTAGTTGTCCTTTAGTTGTCCTTTAGTTGTCCTTTAGTTGTCCTTTAGTTGTCCTTTAGTTGTCCTTTAGTTGTCCTTTAGTTGTCCTTTAGTTGTCCTTTAGTTGTCCTTTAGTTGTCCCTTAGTTGTCTAGATATCCACGCGTGTTCTTATTTCAATCAATCAAATATTTTTAAGGCAAATTTGTCGAAGCTGCTCTGTAAAGAATTTGGAAGTGATTTTGAAGACATCTTACCCGGAATGTTCGCTAATAATGATTTAAAACTTCTAAACGAAGCTGTAAAGGTATGCCCGAAAATCATTTACCTTTATTTGTCGTCCACAGAACGGCCATTTATTCAAGCTTATTTTTTTGTTCCAGGAAACAAATGAGAAAGCGCTCTATCGAATCATCTGTCAAAAGAGCGAAAAGGTTTGAGACTACCATAGTCAAATAATACTGTCGTGAAATATGATAGTGTTTTTTCGAATATACCTGCATGCTATTTATATTTATTTTGCTTTACCTTTGTAAGGATTTGCAAAAGATGAAGTCGCAGTACAAAAAAGGTCAGTATGATCTTGGTAGCGTAATTATTAATTGGAAATATTGTGATGGGTCCAATCATACGATGATTTTTAGCATCATCCATTCATTTTGGTTGTGTATTTTCTTCGTAGCATATGGACATGCTCTATCAGAAAAGATTTCTGAGAAATTTAAAGGAGACTTGAAATCCTTTATCATCGAGATACTTAAGGTGAGATTCGAGAAAATATGTTCACTTTAATTTAAGAAATCTCTTTTCTGAATATATTTCTGACGTTGCCAAAATAAAAAATTGTTGTTTTAGTGTGAAAGAAGTGAAAACGAATCCGTGGATCAAAAGATTGCACAACAAGATGCTCAAGGACTCCATCAGGTAAATGTATTATTTTTTTATTACAGTTTTATATTCACACTGCTTTTTAATGACGCGGTTTTTTGTTCGTTTTAGGCTGGAGAGAAGAAAGATAGTGCCAAAATTATTCATATATTCACAAACAGAAGCATTTCTCAACTGAAAGCCATGCTGGAAGAGTACAAAAAGGTTTTTATTCGCACAATTGTATCACATGACGGCCTTATTTCAAAAATTTTTAGAACGAGACATTGGGATAGTATAAATTTTTAATAATAAGCGTTTGCTCCAGATGATCGAAATACCATGAGTGACCCTGTCTCCATCCAGTCATGCGAGCTTTATTTATTCTAATTTTTTTCCAACTTTCTTTAGTTATCTGAAAAAGATGATATTCCAGATGATTTGTTGGATTCAACAAATGCTTCAAAAGCGCTGACCTTGCACGGTAAGAGTTCAAGTGCATTTCCAACGACTTGCAAGAAGATTCAAATAGATCCAGCCATGCTTGAAATGAAAATATTTCATGCTGTATCGAACGTTTTTCATCGTAAATGTCTTTCTTGTATGGTTCAGAAGGTTATAGCTGTCGCAAAATATTCATCCTTTTTTTCACTTTTAGCATCATTCCTAAAGGATCCCCTTCAGAATAGTGCAATAGAGATCAAGCAATCCATGCTAGAAGATCCAGTATACTGCAAGAAACTTATAGCCACACATGCAGAGGTAACATGTAGTGATTTGATCTTAATCAGACTTTGTATTTTTAGAAGCACCGGTAAAGTACGATCAGGAATTAGATTATTCCTTGCATTACTTTTCATTTCGCTTTCATTAGATTGACATGGTGGAAATAAAAGATGTTTATCAAAATTTCAATGGGGAGACAATGGAAGAAGATATAATAAAACACTACAATGATGACTTGCAAACTATGTTACTGGCATTAGTTAAAGGTGAGGGTCTTAAATTAATCAAGCAGAAAACGTCAGTCCATTTCATAATTGATTTGACTGTGAGGATTGACAAAAGTTGTAGAAAAAATGAAGGAATGCCCAGGTACTTGATAACCTTGAAGATCTCGGGTTTTTGAGATGCTGTGAAGTATATAGTTTCCACTTTAACTGATGTTGTGCTTTGTTTTTCAGAGCCAATCGCAAATCCAAACAACCTAAAGGTAATGAAATACAACTAATATTATGCAAGTGTTAAATTCCTATTGAGTACTTTCTGCTGGCTTACTGAAGGAATTGTATGTTTTAGAAATACCATCCTACAGTTTCACCTGTTGCAAAATTCAATTCGAATGCTGATAGTGATGCTCTGAAGAATGCGAAAGGTTGTCAGTTCAGATGAAGTTTTTATACATTTATGTATATCGAAGAAGTGTCTTTTTATATCAGCATTCTGAGTGATTCTTCATCTTTACAGATGCCGAACATGACATTGATGGGATTATATCACTGTTGTGTTCGAGAACGAAAGAACAGAGGAACAAAATTAAAGAAGAATTCTTGGCCAATCACAAAACAGTAAGTAGCGAATTTTTCTGAATAAAGTGAACTCCTGTGAACAATTTTGTTTCGCGAAAGTAAAAAATATTTATTCAATTTCATCTTGGTTTCGTCACAAGAAACTGTTAGTAATAATTTGGATTTCTTTACAGGATTTGATACAACATCTTGTGACAACATTGAAAGTGAAAGAGCGATACTTGAAAACCCTTTTCTTTGAGACATCGTCAAGCAAAGCAAAAATGTTGTATGAAGCCATGAAGGTACCGTGATCAATTGTTACTGATCTATATAGGACGGTGCATTGCTTTTGCCTGATTTCATTTGCAATTCATGTGCAGGGTTAAAGAAAAGGCACTGTAACGAATTATATACTTCTCACCAGGTATTTTTTGCATATTTGCAGGGTTTTGGAACTGATGAAAAAGTTCTCAGCAACGTGCTCTGCGCCCAAGACAATGAGGTTATATATTGTGTATATAGCTGATGCAAATTCAAATTCAAAACGATCATTAGGAGCAAACGATTTTGGATTCCTAACACACTGTGACAGACTTGTTTTTTTATTTTAAGGGTCTTAAATCGATAGCAAGTTCATATAATCAAGGTATGAACTCCGTTCATATTTGGAAGATTTTCCATCGTCTCTTATATGTAACGAATGCATTTTAACAATAAGTAAATGTTTCTTAATTTTTCTTCCTATTCAAAACATTGTTTGGAATCTTTAAATGACTTCTTCGATTCAGCAGTTAAACTTATGCCTTCACGTTGGTACAAGAATTCACTTTAACACCGTCATGTGAAGACGAAAGATTAACAATTTTAATGTTTATGTAGAATATGGTAAAGAACTCTCGGACGCAATCAGTAGTGAAACTGGCGGAGACTTTGAAAAATTACTTTTAAGAATCCTTAAGGTGTGAAAAAATCTTGCCCGCGTTTAGCTTTGGCAAAGTTTTTGTTGTACTTCATAACTGGCTGTGTTTACGTTTTCTGTGAAAAAAAATTTGAAAGCAGACTTGTGATGCTATTATCCTTTCCATTAGGCTGACCGGGCCGAAAATCAACCAAGAAATACAAGCAAAGTTCAAGCTGATGCAAAAGAGTTGCAAGAAGTAAATGATGGCTGCACTATATGCTCCATTTCAAACATCAACACCGAAATAGATTTTAATTACATAACAATATTCCACACAGTATTTTTGGCTGATTGTGTGTTTTTAATATTGTTAGGCTGGTGTGGAAAAAACAGGGACAGATGAGATGAAATTCATTGAAATTTTGGTATCAAGAAGTAGAAGCCATTTGCAGAAAGTCTTCGAAGAGTATAAGAAGGTAAAGTGTACGGTTATGTACATTAGGGTGTTGATAGAGATATTAAGGGCTTATCGTGCTCAACCAATTCATTTTCAAATCTCAGAACACGAACCAAGAAATTGAGCAGTCAATAAAAAGTGAAATGTCTGGTGACTTGGAAGACGCCTTGCTTGCTCTTGGTATGTATTTGGGCCACTTTAAACAAATAGTCTTTCAATATCCTTGGGTCATTTTATAATTATTCTTAACATGTGATCTAATGTCTCCAATGAGTTCATCGTTCAGCTCTTAATTTTCTTCAGTTGCGTCGGCGCGCTTGGATCCTGAGATTCGCTGGAGTAAGCATTTGAATGGATGTCTTGGAAGACCTCAGGAGATGTTCGAATGCGTTGTCGAACGATCAGAGGTACGCTGTCAATGCTTTATTTTGTCAGATTAGATTATCAGCTGCCTGTTTAAAGGATCTCATTTTACCTGTGATTTTACCATCCGAATTCTTTCATCTTTAGATCGCATGCCTTTACGATTGTTTCTTCCACAGCGTAGTGCGGGTAAATACCAAAAACTGAATAAGGCTAGTGTTTTAGATTTCTTTTCTTATGTTTTCTTAGATTGATATGGTAGAAATAAAGGAGGAATATAACACACAGTTCAATGTTACGCTGGCTGATGACATCAAGAAGAATTATACTGGAAATACATCCAAAATATTACTGGCTTTAATCAAAGGTATGTTTTCTTCTTAAAGTGTTGAGCCTACAAATTTCATGTATGGTATAACGTTAGCTTTAACGATGTTTGATGAAACTTCATTTTATTTTTTGCTTAGAATTCAGCTTTTCTCCAAAGGTAAGCCAATCACCCCTCAGTCTATTTTTACCATTCCCGCACTATGAGACATAGTATTCGGAAATACAACTAAGGAGATTAATAAAGTAGTCTTCTATTTTCACTTTTAGCCTCCAGCAACAAAGGCGTCAAATCGTGCTCCCCGAGGACGAGCTGGTAAAGCAACAAAACCGGCTCCCTCACCACAACCGAAGGCAGAGGAAGTTCCGTCTTCCTCGTTATATCATGGCACTGTCGTTCCTGTTGAGAAATTCGTCGTTGCAAACGATGTAAAATCACTGCACACATCCATTGGTAGGTTTTGTTATAACAGCCCATTTCGGAAATGGTAATAGCTGTTACAGTGTATCTGCCTATTCAGGAACGATACAATTCGATGATATTCACGTCTTTAAGTGACCAAGATGACAAGATCTTATGTGACATCAATGTTGTTGTTATAGGTAAGAATAAGAAAGCTGTCATACAGATGTTGGGTTTGAGAAGCACTGCACAGCGGCAAAACATTATGACGAGTTATAAAGAGACACACAAAAAGGTTTGAAGATATCTCTATTTTGAATTGTGTAAACAAGGTGGATTGCCGAATAACAGGCACATTTATAGAACTACGCTTGTTTTGTACAGGACTTGGTACAAACGCTGAAGGAAATGTTTGTTATCAAGAATGACCAGTTTCTTCCATCTCTGTTCGTGCTCTCGACGATGAACGACGTAAAAGCTCTGCAAGATGCAATGAAGGTAAGAAACGAAACTTTTAATGGTAATTAAAGAGCTAATTTATTTTCGATCCAGAGTTTTTTGTTACTTTGCACGATTGTTCGATTGGGTATGAATTAAAGGAATGTGATTTTCATAAAGGACAGCTTACATTACCAAGCTCCTGAATACTGTATACTTCCGACAATTACTTCACAAGTTCAAAATTTGAAATTTATTAAACAAAGGTCAGTGTGATTATATGTATTGTTCTCGTCTTTACAGGGTTTAGGAACGAAGGAAAGCGTTCTCATTGATGTCTTGTGTCAAAGAAGTGAACAGGTAATAATGCTGATTAATAATGGCGAAAATTCTTTGTATTGTAATATACGGTACTTATCCCAATATTTTCATTGCTTTATGTAATTGTAGGAAATTTTGGAGTTGAAAACACAGTTCCAGAAAGGTATATTACTGCCCGATTTGAATTTGATTAGAAATTCAATGATGTGCTTTTTTGCGACTCCATATACCCGTAGAATTAACCGTTTCATGTTCATTTTTTATGAATTTATGGATAAACATTTCTTTTAAAAATTCATCGCAGCGTACAAGAAAGCGTTGGACAAGACGATCGACAGCGAGGCAGATGATGATTTTGGCAAACTACTTCTTGAAATTCTCAAGGTAATTGTCATCAGAAATCCGAACATGCATGCCGAGTTATATAGTCTTCTTCTTCTCCTTGAATTAGTCCTTCAAATATTGCTATAACGTATGTCTTTATTTTCAGTGTGATCGTGATGACAGTACCATTGTTGATGCAAAACTTGTCCTTGCGGATGCCAAAGGACTTCACGAGGTAATATTATTACTTTTCTCAGCATTTTCATAATTGCTCTAAGAACTGATTGTGTTAAAAAACAAATTCATCTGGTTCATGCACGTACTTCTTCTGAATCCTGCTTTGAAATTTAAGGAGCGTTGACAAAGTCCAATTTTTACAGGCTGGTGAAAAGAAGCAAGGCACGGATGAGGCGAAATTCATCGAGACGTTGACCTCACGAAGTGATGTTCACTTGATTGAAATGTACAAAGAATATGAAAAGGTATAACCAAAAAACCTCATCATATACCTCAGTACGTAAAGGAGCACAAGACAATCATTCGCAACTCATTTGCTTCTAGATTGCTGGAAAACCCTTAGATCAAACTCTCAAGGATGAGTTTAGCGGTGATATTGGAATGGCGCTGTCGACCATGGGTATGGTTCATGGGATGAGTTTTGAAATACCTCCATCGTTTGGAGTAAAAAAACAATAGCTAAAAACGAAAATTTTTTTTTAGTTTCCTACCAAAAAGGCCACATCGCCCATTTTGCCAGCAAGTTGAACACAACGGTTGAGAGTAATATTGATTCGTTTTCAAGATTGGTTGTTGCTCGTTGTGAGGTAGAGGAAAAATCAGAATTCTTGCAGCAAAGATTCCAAACCTCTCTTCCTAAACTATCAAGCTTTTATATTGTAGATTGATATGGTTGAAATCAAGGAAGTGTATTCTAATGCATATCAACGCAGTTTAGCAGATGATATCAACACACATTTAACTGAAGAAGACCTTCGGAACATCCTTTTGTCCCTTATTAAAGGTACTTTTGGCTCATTTCAAGATGGAAGATCACATGCATTCTTATTTTTTTTTCGAGTCTCGCATTATGCATATAGAAAAAATCCTGGAAACTATAGAGGTTTCTAGGAATTAGAACAGTAATGGAATCTTGACGGAGAGAAACTAGAAATATGCAAAAAAGCATTGATATTAAAGTCCTTCTTTTCCTTTCTTTAGAATGGAACCCAGATGAAGAGGTAAAGACGCGCAAATAAATGTAGATTCTGTACTACGTAGTTTCCAAGACCCATGCATAAGTTTGATCAGGAGAGCTAGTAGTTTCTTGGTTTTCTCGATGAAGAAAAGACAGACATTCTTAATGCTGCGTTTTTAAATTTTCATTGCAGCCTAAGCCTCAACTTACTTTGCTGCCGGAAATTGTGTATCATCCAACTGTTGTGATGGCACCAGATTTTGTCGCAGAAAAGGATGCGGACACTGTGAAAGAAGAACTAGGTGAATTTGTTTTACGATTCATCATGAATCGTAATTCATCATGAAAGAATTTCACCAGAAATTCTTTTCAGGAAAGAGTCGAATAAAATCATTATCTTTGTATTTACTTTTTTATTCTTAGCTAAGAGTAAAAATGCTGTCGTGGACTTACTGACGACCAGAACCAAGAAACAAAGGCAAGAAATTTGCGACGTTTACAGGAAGAAGGAAAATGAGGTGAGGCATTGTAATTGTAAATTTTGAAAATCCTGAACACGGATTTGTGGTGAAATTACAATGAACCAACCTTTTTTAGGAATTAACCGATGCTCTGATACGGGAATTTGGTGATGACACGAAGGTTATGTTAACTGTCTTGATTCAAACTGGCAAATCTGATGCTGAGATGATTCACGGAGCCATGGAGGTAGCGTTATGGAGAATTCACATCTTCGTCACAAAACATGTTAATAGTGCAGCCATTTTAAATTGAAATGACAACGTTTGTAAATCCTAAATTTAGGGCTTTGGAACAAAGGAAGATATCCTGATAAATGTCTTGTGCAGACGCAATGTGCAGGTGCGTGGAACACTTTGGATTCTCACAATTTTCTCACAATTTGTGCAGCAATTTTGTACAAAACTTATAGTCTTATACCGTGCATCTATCACTCTAGGAGATTGAGAAAGCAAAAACAGACTACAAAAGTAGTAAGTGTGCATGTGAATGATGGCAGTGTAATGTAGATGAGATATCTAAAGATGTTCAGAAATATGCATGAGCAACAACAGCTATGGACTTCCTGATAGAATCGATTATTTCAGCCCAGCTTAACTCAATGAATTTGAGGCCTTTTGTGAAAGGTTTAATGTAGCTGTTTATTTGTCGAGTGTGATTAATTGATAATGATGTTGGAAACTTTTTCTTAAGCTTATGAGAAAGATATGGAAGAAGCGATTGGGAAAGAAACAAGCGGAGATTTGAATAAATTGTTGATTCGAATAATCAAAGTAAAGTGTTAATAACCCCTATATATATTCCTAAATATAATTCTGTAAACATGTTATTGTTTGAAGTTCAATCACTCTTTGTTCACGAGAAATACAGTTGTATAATTACAGTTGTTTTACGTACCTGAACATGTGTTTCTTTCCTTTTAAAAGTGTGAAAGAGTGGAGTCAGATTCTGTTGATATGAGGGAAGTTCAGAATGATGCCGAGGAGCTCCACAAGGTTGGCGATGAATTCATGTTATCACATGTTATCAACGTAGATGTTTGATATTGTTTTTTTTCTTTCTTTAACCCAAGGCCGGTGAAGAAAAAGTTGGAACAGACGAATCTCGATTTAATGAGATATTTTCGACCAGAAGTTTCGGGCATTTAAGGCTCATGTTTGAACAATATCAAAAGGTGGGATGTGCACTTCGTGGCCTTTTAAAATGATCCTACAATCATCATCAAACAGACTCTAATCAATGTTTTTGTGCTTCTCAACAATATAGATTTCAGGAAAGGCTATTGAAGATTCATTAAAGAAGGAATTCTCTGGCGACGTTGAAACAGCATTCTCGGCTTTAGGTATGAAAAACGTTCACATGCAATACACTTATTTACAACTCACTACCGGAAATAATCACACTTTGAATTATTACATTTTAGTGTCTCATGCAAAAGATCCCTTGTCTCATCATGTGACAAACCTTGGCGAGACCATAAAGGAAGATCCACCTGCATTCTGCAGGCTGGTTGTCGAAAGATCGGAGGTAAACAGTTTTCACTTGTATTTTGAACACTTTTTAACATTGTCCACAAAATCAAAATATATTAAACATGGGTGCGTTCTTACTTGAGGTGGATATGGTGGAGGTAAAAGATCTTTATCAAAAGAGCTATCTAAAATCTCTGGCCGATCATATCAGGGAACACTACACTGATGATGTCAAGAATATTCTCCTGGCGCTTATCAAAGGTATATAAGTATTAATTTGAACTATTTCTATCCCTCTGCCACGAATAACGATAACCTTGTATGTCACTAAATTAAATATCAAGTATTTCCAAAAAAATTACATTTCTTACTTTGCCATTTATTTTCTTTCAGAGTGGACACCGGAGGAAAGGGTAAGACATCTCCATTTTCTTTTTTAAAACTTTTTGAAACTGTATATCATTCAACTAGTAATCACTATAAAGTTGTTTACCTCTTTCTGGAAACATGCATTGTTTTTGATTGCACTTAACACAACAGACGGGATACAAATTGTTCTTAATTAACAACTTAATATTTTTTTTTGATTGATAAAGATCACCACATTTGTACTAAAAATTGTGTTTTACTTCATCGCTTTTAGGAAGAGGAGAAAACAATTCCCCTACCACCTGCTGTTGTATATCACCCCACTGTCGTGGCAGTGCAAGAATTTGTCGTAGAAAACGATGTAAACGTTGTTAAAAGTCATTTCGGTATGGATGTATCATGTTAAAAACATGCTTCTCGTGTTTACTGACTCTCTTCCATCTCAGATGATAGGTTCTGTGTTATGCTTATCGCGATAATTTCTTTCAAAGGCACTGACAAAGACGCCATCATTGGTCTTCTGACGACACGAAGCAAGGAACAAAGACATGGTATAAGTGAAGAATTTCAGAAAAAAGAAAGTAAAGTAAGAATACCCGTTGTATATCGTGACTTGTGAGGCATTTGCTGATGTAACCTTTTGCTAAAAGTACATACACAACGTGTATATTTCAGGTTTTTTCGGAACAACTCGTAGTTGAATTAGGAGAAAAGTCGGAGGATATTTTGAAAATTATGGTACAACCGCCCAAGTCCGACGCCGATAGACTTCATGAAGCTATGGAGGTAAGACAAATTACGTACAACAGAGGCGGGCAGTTTTAAAAACAGATGCAAATGCTTGTTTTACACAACAAATAGAATCGACTGTATTCCTTTTAATACCATTCAAATTGTATCTTTAGGGCTTTGGTACGAAAGAAGAGGTTCTTATTGACATATTATGTCGCCGAACAAAAGATGTAGGTTGACATTTCAGTTCTTTTCTCATATTTAAGTAAATTCATCTTGGTGTTTTACAAATCTCGCTTTTTGCTTCAGGAAATAGCCGTTATCAAGACAAGCTATAAGAAGAGTAAGTGGCACGGTTAGATCCAAATCCGTATGAAAACGAACAAGAAGCCTCATTCTTGTATAACTTAGCGCCAAATCACCACCGGAAGTATCTTCTCCAAGCAGTATGCATAAAAGTTTTCATTCCGTTATAGAACACGAAAAGGAATTACAGGACGTGATTGAGAAAGAAACAAGTGGAGATTTGCAAAAGCTATTTGTTGAGCTTATCAAGGTACATGCAAGTCTGATGCTACCCATTTTAGGCAGATCTCTCGAACTTAAGCATAAATTTGTACTTTGTAGCGATTTTATTCCTCATTTTTTATAAATTTTTATTGCTTCTAGTGCGAAAGAGAAGAGAAGGATGTCATTTATCCTAAAGACGTGAGACAGGACGCTTCTGACTTACAACAGGTAAAGTTAAATGCAAGCAAACTTCAATGTTGAATTCTACTCGAAACTTCGTTCATGTCTGTCAGGGAATGTGTTTATTACTATACTAATACTATTCGTAATGTGTGTACTACTTTAAAGATTTGAACTATTTGAAATTTGCTCTCAGGCTGGTGAGAAGACGGTTGGAACCGATGAATCACAATTTATCAATGTTTTCACGAGCAGAAGTTTGCCTCATTTGAAGATGACGTTCGAACATTATGAGACAGTGAGTAAAACAGTAGAACTTTGCTGGATACAAAAATCATCACCCCCTGTCAATTGAACGCATCACTCCATCTTTACCTTTAAGATTGCAAGCAAGACTATCGAAGAGAGTATTAAGAAGGAATTTACAGGCGAAATGGAGACTGCTTTATTGACTATGGGTGAGAATGAAACTAATGCGAATAGTTTGTATTTTGTTTGGTTACAGGAGCCGAAGATTTCCTTCTTTTTTAGTGTCTTACATCAACGATCCTCTGACAAGTCACGTAGCAAAACTAAACAAGACTATCAAAGATTATCCCAATACATTTAGTCAGATTATCGTTGATCGTTCTGAGGTAAAAAGCGTAGTTTCAATTAATGACTTTGTCGATGTAGATTACTTGGACTACACAACTTTCTATACCAACAAAATTATACCAACTTTATCTAAACGTTCAGGTTGACATGGTTGAGATCAAAGAGTCGTATGAAAAAACCTACAAGAAGACATTGGCAGATGATATTAAGGAACACTTTAAAGAAGAAGATGTTAGGAACATTTTGTTAGGCCTTATCAAAGGTATGTAGAGATCTTTAGTGGAAGAAATTAGCTTAAGATAATTTTGAATCTCGCTGTTTGCTCTTATGGTCCAGTAAGGAAATCTACGAAATATAATTTTTTGTTTTGTTTTTTTCAGAATGGGTTCCTGAGAAACAGGTTAGTGAAGCAGAAGTGTTAGTGAAGTTAGAGAATTAATTATTGGAAATTATTTCTGACTTTCAAAAGCATTCATCATTTACCAAAAATTTCCACCCTCTTCTTTAGCCAACCATTCCAGCCGATCCTCCTGTTGTATATCATGCAACAGTTGTGGCGCCTGAAAAGTTTGTCGAGGAAGATGATGTCAACGAATTGAAAAAGCATTTAGGTATGTGAAAGAGAGATTTTATTCAGTCTCTTAAGACTTTTAAAGCGGAGCTCCCACAAATTATTGATGTGTTCATATCGTTTTAGGAAGCAGCAAGAACGCTTTAATAACGCTTTTGATGAACCGGACTCGGGAACAAAGAAAGAAAATCAGCGACGCTTATCAGAGTAAAGAAAATGACGTAAGATAAACTCTCCGTTCAATGTAGTCCTTGTATTTTTTTGGAATTTACTCAAAAGTATACTTTTTCAACTTTATATTCTTTAGAAACTTCAAGAAAAACTCAACCAGGAGTTTGACAAAGAGTCCGAAGAATTGGTGTCAGTTCTGTTTCAGTCAAGCCAAACAGATGTCGAGAAATTGCATGGTGCTATGGAGGTAGCTTGACAAATTATTGTGCATGATATGTATAATTACTTCTAGTATAATCGTCGTAAAATAGGGATCGTAATAGTTTTTTTCATCGGTTCTGATGAGAATATTCACTTTAGGGCTTTGGGACCAAAGAAGACGTACTTATCAACATTTTATGTCGACGCAATCAAAAGGTAGACTGAATATCAATACTGTTTGACAAGGACATGTCTTGAAAACTGCAAACATTATCATACTTGACTTTTCCATTTATTTCATTTTCATTGAGTTAATTGACTAAGATCTGATGACTAAATTCACATACGTTTGCCTGATCTAGTGTTTGTTTATCTGTTGTAGGAAATAAAAGAGATCAAAGAGCAATTTAAAAAGCGTGAGTTTGTCATAAATCATCTCTAGGAGTGCAGTATTTATCGTCATTTAATATCGTCATTTTATCTTATATTCCAAATATCCTTAATTGGCAACTTTTTCCTCCAGAGTATGAAAAAAACCTGGATACGATGATAGAAAAGGAAACTGGGGGTGATTTGGAAAAGTTGTTAACTGAAATACTCAAGGTACATGTTTGTAAACACTAATTCTTCAGAGCATGTTATGTAAAACGTTTGATGCTCCCAATCGTCTGTATTTTCAACAAAAGTTGGTTCTTTCTTATCTCTTTCTAAACTTTTAATTATCATTAACTTACAGTGTGAACGAGACGAAAAGGATGTAATTTACCCCAATCAAGTGCAGAGAGATGCCGTTGATCTGTATGAAGTAAGTTTTCCAAGAAAACATATTGATAGGCCTTAAATGCTTTCAATACATTGCCTTAGGCATGTAGAATATATAATAGCATTGACGTTTTTCTTTTATTTTGTAGGCCGGCGAAAAGAAGACGGGCACGGATGAATCAAAGTTTGTTTACATTTTCAGCAAGAGAAGTTTCCCTCATTTGAAAATGATGTTTGAAGAATACCAAAAGGTATGCAAGCCTAACATTGTCCATCAAAATCTCTCGCACAGCACATTTTCGTGAAATTAAAAGATTGTGTGATTTATTGTACAGACTTCAGGAAAGACGATCGAGGAATCTTTGAAGAGCGAATTCACAGGAGACACGGAGACTGCGTTCATGACCATAGGTAAACAGTCAACTCAATGAATCGGATGTGACAAGAGTATGGGACTGGCATTAGATGCAGTATAATATACTTCTCAAACTTTCTGTTTAATCACAGTGTCTTACGTGAAAAATCCTCTGACCTCGCATGTGAGTGGACTGAAAGCGACGATTGAAGATGACAGAAAAATGTTCCGCCAACTTATAGTCGAACGTTCTGAGGTTGGTAATGCCTAAAAGGCCGATCAAATTCTTGAGATCTCTATATAAGAGTTCTTAAACAATCGGAATTTGGATGCATATGATATCAGAGGGCTCTCGCAGTGCGCATCTACACCATCTATGCAAAATGCAAAACAGAGTAACATATTTTTTTAAAGTGTTCTAATAGCAGTAATCTATTTCTGCATAGGTCGACATGGTTGAAATCAAAGATCTTTACAAAACAACATATGAAGTAACTTTAGCTGATGACATAAAGAAACATTACACGGGAGACACACAGAACATTTTGTTGGCTCTGATTAAAGGTTGGTATTTTGTAATGCATGGACGTCTCTTTCTCTTCGTCCGCCGGAATACTTGCAGCGGCGGAAATTGGTTCCCATACCCGACAATCAGATATATATTAAGCTGAATTTTTTTTGTATTTTCACTTTTTAGAATGGAATCCAGAAGTCGAGGTGATTATAGTTAACTAGTATTCATCGTTTTTCAATTAATCATTAGATAATTAAAAAACTTGAAACTTTTTAGTTAAAACATGAAAATTAGTTGCCTAAGATAAAAAGTTCACGGCGGGCGTGACTAAGATATATCCAGGACGCAAACATTCCTTACAGTGTCAAAAGCGAGTAATTAAATCATTTCTCTAATTATTTTACTATAGGACCCAGTGCTCCCTGCGCCGCCGCCAATCAAGTACAATGCGACAGTGATTGCCGCGCAAAACTTCAAAGCAGATGATGATGTTGATACCATAAAGAAATCTCTTGGTAGGTGCTTGTGTTTTGCTCTTTTCCATAGAAGATGGCATAAATAAACGAAAATAAATCATTTATCCCTATAATTTAGGGAGCAGCAAGAACTCTTTAATAACTCTTCTGAGCAGCCGAACTCTGGAACAACGAAAAGCAATCAGCGAGGTTTATCAGACGAAAGAAAATGACGTATGAACACATGCATTTACACTTCAACATTTATGTTGCAAGATCTTTTTATTTTTATATTTGTCTTAACAAGCAATATGCTTTCACGATAGAACCATGGTAATACTTTTCTTTTCTTCAGAAACTTCACGAAAAACTCAACAATGAATTTGACAAGGATTCAGAAGAACTCGTGTCGGTGCTGTTGCAGCCAAGTGAAACAGATGTCGAGAAATTGCATGGCGCCATGGAGGTAAATACTTAAAATGCCTGAAAATTACTTTCTATTTCTAAAATCATGATACAAATAAGTGACTCAAAGAGATTGTTGCATTATCTAAAGGAAAAAATATCTTTTAGGGTTTTGGTACCAAGGAAGATGTGCTTATCGACATTTTATGTCGACGTTCTCAACAGGTATGTTTAAGAGATGAATGCAAACTTATCCTGTGTAACCGTTTTCCTTCACAAAACTACAATTAGGAGGAAATACTTTTTGAATGAGAATGGATGACTGGTTCATATATAGATCCAACTGCAATTAATTGTTTAATTGACGAGATTTGATTAAGTAGTTAAACATACGAATACCTAACCTGCATTTGTTTATGATATAGGAAATAACATTGATCAAAGAACAATATAAAAAGCGTAAGTGCATTTCGTTAATGATAAATAATTATAAGATGAAATCAAAACAATGGGACACAAGTTTTCATCTGATATGCCAAATTTCTTTAATGTTAATTATGTCTTTCAGAGTATGAAAAAGACTTGGATACGATGATTGAGAAGGAGACTGGGGGCGATTTAGAAAAGTTGTTCATTGAAATACTCAAGGTGAATATTTTCCCCAAATGATATCTTTGTTAGTAACTTTCTTTTCCCTGACTTCTTTTTTCACTCATAACCAACATCTAGTGCGAACGAGACGAAAAAGATACCATTCACCCCAGACAAGTGGAAAGAGATGCAGTTGATTTGTTTGAAGTAAGTTGGGGATGAACTTACCTGCCTTTTGCTTGCAGAATACTTGATGGTCTTTACATTAAGCACGTTTGCTTTTTTGTAGGCCGGGGAAAAGAAATTGGGAACGGACGAAACAAAGTTTGTTCATATTTTCAGCAAGAGAAGTTTCCCTCATTTGAAAATGATGTTTGAAGAATACCACAAAGTATGAGATTTTGATACAATATTGCATTAATCCATTTTCGTGCATTATAAATTTACAAAAATAAACCGAAATGTTGCGTGATTTATTGTACAGACGTCAGGAAAGACGATCGAGAAAACTTTGAAGAGCGAATTCACAGGAGATACGGAGACTGCATTCATGGCCATAGGTAAACAGACAAATCATTGAATCACATGTTGTGAAAGTTTGAAACTCTATTTAGAAGCATAACATTTCCTACCGTTAAATTTTCTTTTTCATCGCAGTGTCTTACGTGAAAAATCCGCTGACCTCGCACGTGGGAAGACTGAAGGCGACGATCGAAGATGACAAGAAAATGTTCCGTCAACTTATAGTCGAACGTTCTGAGGTTGGTAGAATCGTAGAAGGCTTTCACATGTTGATATTTTTTCTAAATACCTTTTTTACACATGTTTTGCGTAGATTGACATGGTTGAAATCAAGGATCTTTACAAAACAACATATGAAGTAACTTTAGCTGATGACATCAAGAAACATTACACGGGAGATACACAGAACATTTTGTTGGCTCTGATTAAAGGTTGGTATCTTGTAATGCATGGACGTCTCTTTCTATTCGTCCGCCGGAGTATTAATCTTAGTAAAAAAATAGTATCTTCATACTACTCAGGAATCAGATGAAAACGCGTGCTTGAAATTTTTATTCTTCATTATTTAGAATGGGATCCTAAAGCAGAGGTAAATACCAAAATGTTCAACTGTCAACTAAAAAACTTTCAACTTTCAACTAAAAAACTTTCAACTTAGGAACTTTCAACTAAAAAAATTAACGTCAAAACACACTGCCCGAATACCTGTGATGAACAAATCAGTGCATTATACCCATATACCCCAACAGAAGTGAGCGTCTGTGTCAGATAGCGGTAAAGTAAAGCCATCTTGAAGATATTCTCTAAATTATGATGATTGTAACTTTATCAGGAACCAGTGCTTCGCGCGCCAACACCAATCAAGTACAACGCAACAGTGATTGCCGTACAGAACTTCAAAGTGGATGACGATGTTGACACCATTAAAACATCTCTTGGTAAGTGCTTGTGTTTTGCGAGTTCATCTCCAAGATTACTATGGTTTCAGTTTTGGGAACAGCACTGTGAATGTGCGCACCCCGTTGTTTAGTTTTTTTCCCTGGGCGATACATATAGACCTATAACCAAGACTCTAGTGGTGCTAAATCTTGGCTGATGTTACACCTCCAGAGCCCCTTTTAACCACATAATTCCTTCTCACCTTTACGGATTCATTTGCGTCACATTCTGTAGGCAACGATAAGAACGCTATCATCACAATCCTGACAACCAGGAGTAGAGATCAGCGGGAAGAGATTTGTGCAAAGTACGAGCAAAAACACAACGAGGTACAATATATTTACTTCATTTTGTAAGAAAGTAAGTTATTGTACAATCCATACCTTTTTGCATCTATGGACCATTTGAACACTCGGGTGGATGAATTATAATCTAATGAGAATATTTTGTAAATGTCTTAGTGAATGTGCAAGGAATGTGGCATCTTTTTTTAAACAGGATCTATGTCCACGTCTTACTGCGGAGTTAGGAGAGGATGTTAAGGATGCACTCTCATTACTGCTGAGACCATTGGCTATCAACTATGCAGCAATACTTTACGATGCAATGAAGGTACAGCAAAAAATAGTCCAGCCTCCGATTTACTCTTGTAAATAATCATGGTAAAAAAGAATGAAAAGCAAATTAATCAGTTACTTTCCTTCCCATGAAGAAGGAAACCTTTTCGACTGGTATCGCCTCAAAGATAGTTTGAACTTTAAGGATTTTTGTAGTTCACATATTACAAAGCGTTTGTGATTATTTAGGGTTTTGGCACAAGAGAAGAGTTGTTGATAACCGTTTTGTGTCGGCGTTCACCAGAGGTTTTTTGCCATTTATGTTTTTAAATAGAAATGAATTACCTATCTGAATAAGCATGTAAAGAAAACATCGTTTAATATTCTTCATAAGCAGCATCCGTTACGGCAGAAAACTGTTTCTTTAAGACGATATTTTCTGTTTTATCTCTCAGGAAATCCAAGAAATCAAAGCACAATACCAGAAGAGTAAGTAGGCTGTAAACAAACGAACTGTAATGAAAAGGGAGACAATGAATTATAGTTCACATGCATTTTTCTTATTGCTTGGTGAAAGGGAGGATCAATGTATTGCTATTTAAGCAGAAGCATTTTCGCATCGTGTTGACCTGAAGGACTAAAGTTATTGCAATAACCCTGTGGCTTTTTTAAGGTTACAGCAAAGATCTTGGTGGTGAGGTTGACGATGAGACAAGTGGCGATTTAAACAAGCTGCTGGTGGAATTGATTAAGGTACGTTAGAAAAGTTAAATAATTCGGAGTAACGGACGCGAGCCTCAAGAGTTTAATCAGGTTTTTGATGCATTATAGTGTGACAGAGAACCTGAATCAGCCGCATTTAACGCTCAAAAAGCTGTGGCCGATGCTGAGAATCTGTACAAGGTAAAACACCGCAAGATCAGTTCTTTTTAAGATGGCATTGAATGTAGCTAAATCATTTTTTAATATTTGAAGTTATACTTATACTTATTAGAAGATTCTATAAAGGATTGTACTGTAAAATCCTATGAAGTAGCGAGGTCTATAGAAAGGAGTAGTGTCTGCTATTACTGTCTGAAATCACATATGGCCTAGAATTTGGAAATGAGTCTGACTCTGACCTAACTAATTACGCTATGAAGAGAACCATCGTACTGAATATTTTCTGCTTACATGTTCTCAAAGCCCTGTTTTTAACACTTTGTGAACTAGCCCGGATAAAACACCCCCTCCATGCAACTGCATGCAATCTCACCATTTAGGCTGGAGAAAAGAGTTGGGGAACTGATGAATCTCAGTTCATCGAAATATTCACGAAGAGAAGCTTCACTCATTTGAGAGCTGTGTTTGAACATTACAAAAAGGTAGGTTCATAAAATTCCACTTTGGACCGTTAGACGGCGTATGATAATATAATCTGCTTACTATTATTTACATATAATTTCAAAGTACAAAATTCCTTATATAATTACCAAAATTTGTTTTCGAATAGATATCTGGAAACGATATTGTTAACGCGCTAAACAGCGAAATGGATGGTCATCTATTGGCTGCATTCCTTGCACTAGGTAAGCGTGCCTGTTGTCATGATTACGTATTGTACACCTGCTGAAAAGGGTCAGAAAGTTGGGAGTCTGAGCTCTTACAAGGGACTTTAATTGGAGTGAATGTTAACGAAATGATCCATAAAAGTTGATCCAGTCAACTCGCGTACAGCTGACTGGATTTTCATTTTGACATGACATGGTCGTGAAGGTTGATAAACATCGCATTTTTTCCGAATAAATATCATTCTTAGGTTGATATTTTTGTCAGTAAAATTCATCTCATCGCTACTTGTCTCCCATTTTAGTATCTTCAGCACGAAATCCTCCGACGTATTACGCAGGGTTGGCGAAGAAGATCGTCACAGAATCCCCGAAAGATTTTGTTCAACTGGTCGTTGAACGATGTGAGGTAGGTTGGGTGTTATCGATAATTATCATCAATAAGTATCATCATTATCGATAATTATCATCAATAAGTATCATCACTATCGATAATTATCATCAATAAGTATCATAATTATCGATAATTATCATCAATAAGTATCATCATTATCGATAATTATCATCAATAAATATCATAATTATCGATAATTATCATCAATAAGTATCATCATTATCGATAATTATCATCAATAAGTATCATCATTTTTAATTTTCAGTATAGTTTAAAATTTTATCGAGTAAGTGTATTTATATATTTGTTAGATCGATACGGTGGAGATTAAGGATATTTACTTAAGTGTGTATAAAAAGAAGTTGGCCGAGGATATTCTGGCGAATTTCACCGGAATTCTTCAAAGGATGCTGCTTGGGCTTTTAGACGGTACGTACGTCAAACTGCTTTCTAGCATCCAAAACTTCGTAAAAGTGAAACGTTTGGTAGCAAATGATTGCAGAGTGTAAAAATATCTCATTTATACAATTTTTTTCAAACGAGGATACCTTTAGTATTTCCCATCATAACCCAACCAAACTTTCCAACTTTAGAAATTTTCGAATGCTCTTTCCAGCTGAATATCTCAGAGCCGACAAATTTTCATAGTTAAGCACTTAGGTTAATATCGGCATGGTCTATTGCTTTAAAGCCCCGTTTACACCACATTCAATTTATTGGCACAGCACGGCTGAAATGGGTACCATGCCCAATTGATTAGTGCTGAGGCTACCAAAACACAGGCCTTGCACGGATGAAATGGGCACGGGTACCCATTTTAGCCATGCCGTAACAATAAATGCCATGCCGTAACAATAAATCCAGTGTAGTGTAAACGGGGTTTAAGAATAATTTTAATAAATGATGAAGTAATTCGTCGTCTAATTCAGACTTGCATTGCAATTTATTTTCCATATTTTATTAGACTACAATATATATTCCAAATTTGGCTTTTCAGTCAATTTGCCTGATCACATGCGGGAAACATATCACAGCAGAAGAACCGTGAATGCTATATCGAAAGTATTATTTCATGAAATTGTCCGCCTGTAATGCTTGTTCCATTGTTTGGTGATGGAGCATTAATAAATGTCACAGAGACGCCATCGAGAGTAACAAATGAAAACCCACTTGACCCATAGAATGATTTAGCTCCATTTATTTTGGCAGATAGTGTTACAACTTCATCTTTCTTCAGTGCAACTCGTTCATTTAACATTACATCAAAACCAGGAATACCGTCTTGATTCGTTTCAGAAGTAAACGTTCCAGTCACTTTGGAGTTTTTGACTTCAAAAGTGGCCTCATATTCACTCTTCTTCTCGTCTCCAAACAATCGAACACCCAGTAAAAATGCGTCTTTTTTGACAGAAAAACACAGACGATCCGGTTCGGTAGTATAGTTCCAACCATTACTTTCTGAACCTTTTGGAAATCTGGGAAACCTTGTGTTTGGTTTAGACCGTTTAGTAGTTCTATTCGGTAGCTTCCATTTTAGTTCAGGTGAATCAATTCCAAGAAATTTCTCATAAATTGGAACTAATTCTTCAGGAGATAGAATACCAGTTTTTGAAACATTCACTGCAAACTCCGCGTTGGTCATGGAAAAGAATCGAAAGTAATAGATTGCCTCGCCAATGATATTTCTTCGGTTCTCGCCTGTTGGTTTCAACTTCTTAAGCGAACATTGGAAATCGATCCATTTAAGAACAGCTTGAAACAAATTGATTTCCGGCACGTCTAGTACGTCTTGCTTCAATAACTTTGCCAAGGTCATTTGACTGATGTTATTGAAGCTGTCTGAGGTTACAACTTTGTCTGCGTTCGACTGGACAACCTTCCAACATTGAGCCTCAAATTCCTTCTCATCAAATCGAACCGCTTGCTCCAAAACGCTCAGCACATTTTCAGCATTTAAATTCTCTCCTAAGAAATCAACACATTTCTTACTGAGCGACGGCACGATGTATTTCTTTGCCAAATACAAAACTGCGACGACATTGTCTGAATCTAGTGTACATTCCTCTGTGTAGAGAAATCGCAGGAATTGCTCCAAGCTTCCTTTGTTTGTATCAGACAAATCAATCTGCGAATCTTTCACGGCCAAGCCACCATAAAACATAGCATGAAACACGGCACTACTTGTGCTCAAGACGTATTTATGAGCATAGAATATCTTGTCTGAACTCTCGCAGGTAAAGCTGATGTCGCTCATGTCTGGATTGTTGAACATGTGACGGTTTCTTTCTAAGATAGTGTCCTTTGTCGACTGCCAGTCTACTTTGAATTGAACGGAGGCCATTTTCAGAAATATTAGGTGTAGAATACGAACAGTAAGCAAGGATATTAGCTGTGATTCAATACGGAACAACAAAAATCATTGTGCAATTGTAATTGCGGAAGTGAAGTGAAGTTAAAACGAAACGAAATTTGATATTTTAGCATATATTTGAACTCTCATCAGTCTCGTGACTAGCAATTCAAATGGCCCGGTCGGCCTCTTTGAAAAAACCTTTAGGGAAAAGTATGAGATTTAGTAATTTATTATATTTGGTAATTCTAGTTTATTAATTCTACTAAATTCCGAAATCATTCTGTTTAGAACCTTGGGAAAAACTTGCTGAAGAAGCACCAAAGGTATTGCCTTGATTAAATTATACATTTAACAATCATAGCATGAACTCAGAGTTGAGCTGGTAGCCGTTGCAAACGTGGCTAAGCGGAGTTGGTTTTCAGCCAGATATGGCGAGAGCAAATGGTGTATTTGTTTTATAATATAGCCAGAGCTTTATATAATCATAATAAATGAGCAAACGGCTTTAATCAAATTCCTATCATAACGGATATCATGAGGGTTTTCAATACCCTCACTGTATATGGGCTGTGCAGCCTATCAGTATTTGTGGCTTATTATACCGAAGGTCCCAAAAACTTAGATTCCAAAAAACTGGCATACTGCATGGTCAACTGATGCTTTTTGTTTTTAATCACATTCCCTTTCAGCTTCAAATTGTCCATCGCATCTCACGTTTGTTTTCTATCTTTCTTTCTTTTATCAAGATGGAAAGCGAGCCTGTACAAGAACAACAGCAACCCAAGGAGCCAAAGATGAAAACCATTGAGAAGGTAATTACCTCAGAGAACTAACCCACTGTCATTTAGAAACGATTTGTCGAGGGTCGCCTTCCTCTTAACGCATTGGGACTTGCGGTGATGAATAAAAGTAAACCAAATTCAGAGACTGAAAAATAGCACTGAGCCATAAACTAGATTTTGTCCACGTCTGTGTCAAAGAAAAACGGTCGCTTTACTATTTTTTTTCTTTCAGTTTAAAATTGCTCTGATTTCTGTTTTGAATTTCAGCCTCTCTATCACGGCACGATAAAACCAGCCCCACCGTTCAACCCCAAGGAATATGCGGAGAAATTGAAGAAAGCAATGAAAGGCTTTGGTAAGGATTCACCCACACATGTTTGATCAGGGTCAGGGTATAGTGCTACGGTTGAGAGTCAAGGCTTGATCCTGATTACTTGTCATCAGATTTATCATAATTGTGGATACACTAAATATATCACCATATATTACAAAAAAAATAGTACCGGTTTATAGATTGGATGGTCCTCTATTTGGGCGAGGAAGTGAATAAGAGAACCATTACTACTAATGGAAAAATTTTTCTCGCTAGGAACTGACGAGAAGACCATCGTCCAAGTTTTATCATCAAGATCAAATGAACAACGACGAACAATTTACAACACTTATCAACAAGAGTTTAAAAAGGTTGCTCTTCCTCTCAATTACCTATACATATTTAAAGTAAATTATCGTATACATCTTTCTATCATTTTAAAGCTTTTGTTCATTTGAGTCTTTTGTGGTAAGATTGCAAATGCCATAAATGCCATATCTTTGCTAGTTGATAAACGTTTGTATTTTATCCATTTCTTCGTTACCAGGACTTGATTGAAGAGTTGAAATCAGAGTTAGGTGGCGACATGGAAAATCTCGTGGTAGCCATGATGTTACCAAGTGACGTGTTCCACGCCCGGGAACTGGACAAGGCGATGAAGGTGAGTATTGTAGAGTTGATAGAGCAGTAAATGCAAAAGAAAAGTATTCAAGTATACGATTGCCTACACTTCGAAAATGTTCGAGGACAACGGCAATGTGAAAATATCGCTGGCTATGGAGGTGATGGAGGTAGAAAAACAAGGCTTGAAGACGTATCACGTATTATTCTGCTATTGATTGATATCATTTCCCTGCTGTGCCGATATAATTCTTTTTCCCATAGGCCAGCATCTTAATCTCTCATACTGTCTGCAATAAATTCTGTTTGTCAAATATTTGTGTGAAAAATTGCACTTTAGGGTTTTGGTACAGACGAAGAAGCTCTGTGTGAGATAATCTGCGGTCAAACAAGCGAGGTATGGCTTTATTTATACAATCAATATTCCGTCTTTCTCATTAGTCAAGCGGACTGGTAATTAATAGTGATACAACAACGCCTCATGGGGCTGTTTCAAGGACGAGCCTTTGTTTACGAGCTAAAAACAGTCCCTTCACCTGTTCACCAGTGCCAATCTCCCAATAACCAGCCGTCTAACTTCGGAATGACCAATTAACAAAAAGGCCTATCTTTGCTCATAATTAAGTCATGTTGATTTATTCTTTTCAAGGGCTTGGAAGCGGTGGTGAATTGCTACAAAAGAGGTACGGCAGGCAGCCATAGTTGGACGTGCATCAATTTTAATTGAGGGTAGTGTCGCAGCTCCTCGCAAGAATGATTTTCATTGGCTGGACTTTACAATACATTTCTGTTTCAAGCAATAGCATAGCTTCGTTCTTTAGAAAGCATAGAAAAGCAATATCTAATTGGACGAAAGTTTCCGAGAGCTGCGACAATTTTATCCATATTTTCTCGCAACTATTCACGATCTCGCATTTCCAGTGATGGCAAATACTGATGCCTTGAAAGTAACAAGCTTTAGTCAACCTTTTTTCACAATATACGTAAAAACAGAATCACAGTAAAAAAAATTAGCAGTTTACCGTCTTTTAAAAGCTTTTTTCACTTAAGAAATGTGTTGAGAAATGTCTAGTATGAATCCAAACTGTATTTATGTATATTCGTTTGTCCCACAGAGAAAGGCAAGGACTTGAATGCGGCTATTGATGGTGAGACAAAGGACGACGTGCAACGCTTGCTTCTGGGATTGTTGCTGGTAAATATTTCTATGCTTCTTCGACTTCTTACCATTTACGAAACAATGGTACTGTTGATTTGTGGGTTATTTTCACAAGGCGTCGAGGGGTATACAAACTGCTGGATTTTGACTGTATTGAGTTGTTGATTTGTGGATGCTTCCAGACTGATGCCAGCATATGCATGTATTGCCACAGCTATAGTACATCATATCAACTAGGGATCTATATACAAAGATGGTTAATATGCTACATAGTTTAGTTTGCTTGTTTTAAATGTGATAAAAAATTTGCATCATTTTTCTTTTAGAGTGGACATTTGAATGCAACTGAAGTTGACATGAACGAAGTGGAAGAGGCTGCCTTAGATATTCAAAAGGTTGACATATAGTGTAGTTAGTCGAGAATATGCACGAATCGCGATAGATCGAAGGATCTAAAATAGTTAGGGAACTTTGGTCTTAGAACAAGACCCTCGGTCGAACATCTCGTCTCCGGAAGGCTGGGTAACATAGACCTTCAGATGTAAAAGACTTTTGTTTCTAATTCTCCAAGACGAAGAATGGGGTTTCTCTAAAATCATAGGATATATTTCGAAACGATAAACGATAAAGAAGCATGTTATTTTTCCACAATTTCTAGCCTTTCACAACCTCCCGTATAGCTACTAAAATATATCCAACTCTGTTATAGGCCCAAGGCAACAGATGGCAAGGTGAAAATGCAGTCATACAGAACCTCCTCAGAACAAAAAGCCGAGTCTTCATGTCGGAAGTCATCACAGAATTTCAAAAAGTAAGTCAGTAAATCAGTTCCATCATTTGGTTAACTATGAGCCCTTAGATTTACTCAGCGGTTTTGTTTCAATCTGGAATTGGATCAAAACGACATGAATCTAAATGGGCTGTGGACTGAAAAGAAATTGCATCGCCATCGCAAAATGCGGAGAAGCTTGGAACGCCATTTCATCGCATACTAATGATACTACAGACGGGAACACGAGATATGACGCAATTCTGGAAACCAATCCCAACACACAGCTTTCAATTCTAATGTAGCCTAAACATGTAATCTTAAACTTTGACTCACATTTCTTCTTCAACTTCAAAACAGATTACCAAATGTGACATTGTTAACGAGATTAATAAAAAAAAGTCTGGGACATACAAAGACTGTCTTCTCGCTGCAGGTAGAACTAACAGATGTTTATTATATTCCAACTTACACCATGAGTTTTTAGGTTTGCATGAATTGCTCGATTTTTACACCTCTCCTCTCCAATACCAATGAAGAGCAAAACATGGCGAGGCCGAATATCATCAGTAAAGCCCTGACAGCGCATGCGCCATCTACAGCAGATGTTAGTTTGGTTTCTTTTCGGTTTCTCATTTATACGTTGTCACTTTCTTCATTCCAGTTGAGTGTATTCGTGAGCCTCCCGTTTATTTTGCCAAACGACTGTATAACGCTTTGAATAAGATGAACGTCGACGACGACACTCTAATCCGATGCGTTGTCGGACGATCTGAGGTAAAGTGCTTCCGCTTAGACCATTTTAATACCCCGGTCAAATATACCATGTTTCGATTATATACTATATTCTCGTTTATCTTCAACCTCAAAGGTACCATATTCTGGTATATTCGACCATAGTCGAGTATATCATTTCCCGGTATATTCGACCATGGTCGAGTATATCATATTCCAGTATATTCGACCATGGTCCGGTATACCATATTCCGGTCGAAGACCGAATATACCATTTTTCGGTACTACTAGTTCGACCTTGGTCGAATATACCATATTTTGTTATATTCGACCATGGTCGAGTATACCATTTACCATATTTCAGAGTATTCGTCCATCCCAAGTCTCAATCCCGCCCTTTGCCCTAAATATACTCGTCAAGACTTAGGCTAGAAGTCGAAATTAAGTTGCTTCATTTTGAAGAAAGTCCCGTTTCTTTACAACTAGGTCGACCTCCTGGAAATAAAGCAAGCGTTTCAAGCGCTCTTCTCTGTGTCACTACAGGAAATAGTGAAGAAAAAATGTCGTGGCGATTATGAAACATTACTGATTGCCTTAATCGATGGGAACTGAACCTTCTAGCTTTGTGTGTTGAAATATGTTTTACTAAACGAGTTTATTTTTATTATAGTGATTTAAAGCATTCAGATATCAACTCCCACGCGTACATCTTGGTGCGAGGCTGCAAGCGCTTTAGGACTTCTAGGTTTTTGAGTTTTGGTTGCAGCTCGCTTCTCTGCATTAAGAAATGCTACTTCGAAAGTTCTTCCAATCAGTGGCACTACATTCTACATGATTTAGTATCGTCATTACGAATAGAAATATTTAAATGTGAATATTTTCGAATCACGTTCAAATATGCTCAGTTTCGCGTTATGCCAAACATATATATTTCTGTTACTTGATAGGTCGTGAAAGACATATTGTAACTTGAGTGTTGAAAGGTCGTCAAAAACATATTTCAGATCAAATATGATTTTTCAATCGTAATTCTGACGACTGATATTCTCATTACTAAATCACGAAGTTGGAAGGTCTGACCGTCTGACATCAATAAGTCATGTTGGAAAATGACAAGCAATAATATTTTTGGGAGTTTTTACTTTTTAAAGCACTATAATAAGCTGACTAATAACATACCTCGCTCGAATGTTATCACATCGCTGGGTTGTTAAAAGTAGTGCTGAAAACGTTATTTTTAATTATCACAGTAATGTTCCTGTAAACAGGAATGCAGGTACTTTGAATTCTTTAGTTCATTTAATGGCCCGTATTTCAATACCGATTTTAGTGTGAATTCCAATGTAGAACCATTGGTTCATTCCGCCTAACGGAAATTTAAGGATCGTATGATTTTTGTAAAGCAATTATAGCTTTAACGCACGCATTTTCCTTGGCAAAGAACTTGTCGCAAATAGATTTTACATTCTATATTTATACGTAATTTAATTTAACATTGTATAATATTTATTTAACTATTTGTATATATGCTGCATGTACACTTGTAATAAAAGTTCGCACTCGATGAAAATTAATTTGTCTGAAAGAAATTGTAGAGACAAATTTGCAAACGATGCGCTGTGTTTGCGTCTGTTCACCGGCATCGAGTGCAAACAACGGCAGGAGCCGGGAGTTTTAAATCTCCCGCGTGTAATTAGGTCACCTCTGCGTGGGACCCGCGTGACGAAAAGCAAATACAAATTCATACCGCAAACAATATTTACAAGCTGTGTTGATGGCCAAAAATTGGCTTCGCGTGTTCGCAAATCGACTTGATTTGATGAATTAAATATCGACAACAAATAATCCACGATGGATACGGATCGTAGCACTCAAGTTCTTAAGACACCGCTTGTTTTGTGGGTGAGTTTTAAGTCGATATATTGCTTCGCTACTTCCCCGTATCGATATACTGAAGTGCGTCCTGTTTGCGAATCGACTTGTTTGATATTTATAACCTTCTCGTATCGCGTTCTTTCCGGAAACGAAGTGCCTTAACGAAGTAATAGGATAGCATGAATGATGTTTTATTTATGTTTAAATTTAGATTCGTACATTTTCTGCTACGGCCGTAGCTGATTTGACAGACTTAGTCGATGGCTACTTGTTGAATAAAGTTATGACTGAAATGTGAGTAGCTAGCTTTACGGATCTATTTATTTCCTGTGGTCTGGCAACCTTTTGTATTGTTTATATATAAACAAGAAGACTATATTCCTATTTAGTGTATATTCAAAAGGTTTATAAACTCGAACAGCAGGACAACAGTGACATTTGCTTAGACGAAATAGACCAAAGCAACCTGTGGTCTTTGTTGTCGCAATATGAAACGAAAAGTGGATTTGAAATAAAGTAAATAATTGACTACGGGATCCCGTTGATTTACGATTTCTTGTTTGCTTAAATTATAGAGATCCGACCTATTTCGGGCTGACTCTTGTCCATTCTAACGTGTACGCTGATATAAATCTGCGAATTCACAACTTGGAGCATTTACTACGGAGTTTAAAAAATTACTACAAGGTACGTACGCGTCCTAAACTGTTACAATTTCCGAGAGGCGTTCTTTCCCCGCGGGATTTAAATGTCTTGTGTATTGTAGCAAATTTGTACCGCTTCCTTGCCGTTAAACACCTTCTTTCTTGCTACTCTCACTCTAAATTTGCAGCCTTTGTTTTGAGACAGGTTTTTCCACGAAGGTGTTTGAGGGGGCTGGAGTAGTTTTGCAAAGGATTAATGGCAAATGTGTGCTTGGATTATAAGCACGGGAAGGAATTTGTTAATGGCCTTTGAGTGAAAGCGTCTCTAATTTAGACATGCCATTTGTCCTGATAGATGCTCTTATTGCACAATGCAATTCGCAATTTTCAACATGGATTTTGAATATGCGATTCTGCAACCTGTATCAATACAAATATTCATCCTCAAAGCGTGAAATGAATATTCAATAAAATGGTCTAAATTTATATTGCAATAAGCCTTTGTAGTGTAGTTATAGTCAATATGTTTGCAACGATTGTATAATGATTTGGTGTAACTTTAATATCTAGTTTTGTCAAACTTATCTATTTAACTATCAGCCTGAGAAAAACTGCCAATATATGGATTTAGGGCAATAATATATCTCTATTACACAAATGTATACACAACACTTAGGATGGCATGTGGGATGAAATAAGATATTATTCATGTGGCATATTGTCAAAATGAATAATATTATCTGCTATAAAGGTGTGAAATATAATGTCACACATGATGTCTAAATTCAGTCTGCATATTAAATTGGCTTGTCCATGACAGGAATTTGGCTAGTCTACCATTAAGAATTTTGCAGCTAATTGGGTTAGTCATAAACAAATCAATAGTCTGGTTAATCTACTCTATCAATCTATTTCTTGATTTTTTATTGTGAGACTACAGTAGATAGCCAAATATTGTCAATACAGAGTGAAATATTATTTCCCAGACCAATAGAATCACCTGGCAATATCCCTGCATATGTGTGAATAGCAATGCAATGAATGCAATATGCCTCTTTTCTATCAAACTAGGTGGCCTAGGTTAATGGTTACAGTGATTTGTGAAATCAATGCATGTGCGGTGCGTGATATGTAACACTTCACTGAAGTATTGATATTCTTTGTCCAGGAGAAACTCCAGCAAGTGATTGTGATGGACAGTCCTGATGTTTTTGTCATTGCAAAGGATCCTGAGAGTGGTAAGAATGAGATATTTTGGACGATTATGTAACTTGATCCAACTGTATGAACTACACTACAATTGGAATTTCTCTAATTCTCGTATTTCTAAATGACATACCAGCTGACTGTGTGCTGACTAGTGACCAGGCCAGACAAAACACTACTTTTTAATCAGATAAGTCTATATGTGTCCTTGAAAATGATACTTGAGATTAGATTATTTAGATATCTTTTGGAGATTCTGATTTCCAAACACCCCCCTGAAGGCCCTTCTTTTAGGTAGTTCACCCCGGCCTCTTCCCAAAAAAAATTTATTTTATTAGTCAAAATACTAGGGAAAACAATATACCGTACAACCAAGGTTTAACTCTTTGTATGCACATGTTGTTGTACGATACATTGTTTTCCCTAGTATTTTGGCTAATAAAATAAAACTTTTTTGGGAAGAGGGCTTGAACTACTTAAAAGGAGGGCATTCAGGGGGGTGTTGGAAATCAGAATCTCCAAAAGATATCTAAATATTTTAATCTCAAGTGTTATTTGCAAGGCCACATATTAAAGGAGCATGCCTCCTCCCTTGGCCTTGCACACACCATTCCTGTAATTAAATTTCAGTAAAGTGTACAAAATTAAATTGATGATTTTTAGATGAAAGTATTGAGGAGTTGAATAAAATTTTGTTGCTCATTCTTGGATGTGCTGTTCAGGTATTGTTGTGGTAATGTACATATTGATAGGAGTGTTGTACAAGCGGGAACAACAGGGGCATGGCCAGCCTTAAGTAAGGGGAGGGAGGGGGAAGGGGGCAAACATCAAATGCACAACTGAGGGTTGGACCCCTCAAACATCTGTTTTATAGCCATTAGAAAATTTGAATGAAAAGAGGATGCGGGTCTGTCTCCATTTCCCAGGGTTTCCCCTTTCCCTGCTCCGTGACTACGTCACTGGGAAACATGGCCACTTTGACCCCGCAAAATTGTAGGTCCTTGTGAACTTTGGTGCATGTTTGTAATATATGTGCATATCAGTCATTTTTTTAGTTATGAAAGGTCGCGAAACGGAGATCTGACAGTTTGAAAAATTGCGCTGATAATGATAAAACAGCTTTTTAAAAAGCCTTTTTTAAACGCGTATACGAGATTGGAGAAAAAATTGCAGAGATTTTTCCCACAAATTCCCGATATCGCGTTGACAGGCTTATCTGAGATTAAGTAAAGCGTGAAATGGCTTTGCGGTATTGATTTCATAAAAGCTTAGTTATTTTGGTACCTGAAAAAATTCACATTTTGTCTGACTCGCATATCCTAGGACTAGGTTGTCATTCATCATCACATCTCCTTAGTCTTAGAGTACTTAAAGTAAAGCTATTCCTTTACTCGGCTAGGCTTTAATTCAATGACAATGTTTTATTTTAGTGCGATAGAAAGGATTTTTTCGTCGAGAAAATAACGACGATGGACGAAAGTATCCAGCAAGAATTAGTTATTCCTATACGCGAGGTACACATACAACAAGTTTCGACTTTCGATTTAGCTAAGGCCGGTTTATGTATTCACACTTTTCGCCTCTCGATTGTTTTTGTATAAATGCTTCTTTAAGGAAATGACGTCTGTTTAGACACCGGCGTGTCACGGGAAAGATATCATTTGTAGTTTTGACAGCAACGGAAGTTTGCATCATTTCTAATATTTCCAAGCCTGTTTGATCAGAAACACTGATGCCAAAACACCGTAGACTTTAAAAGCCACGTTTACACTATACCCGATTTATTGGCACGGCTGCCCGGCCTTTGTTTTGGTAGCCTGAGCACTAATAAAATTGGGCACGGGTGACAGGTACCCATTTTAGCCATGCTGTGCCAATCATGAAATTGAGTGTAGTATGAACGGAGCTAAAAACCTCGAATTAAAATAGACAACATTTTCGTTGGCATTGTTGAGATTTGCCAGTGTGAAATGTTTTATGTACAGAAACGTACAGTTTTTGGCCTGACGCACTTTGAGGTAAAATTGATGCGAAATTTGAGTGTAAAATTGATGCGAAATTCAATTTTCTATAAAAAAATCGCAAGTTTAATGTCACTGAGACTGTAAACATAAAACATGTTCCCCTATTTTTCGTAATTGGAATTTCACGATCACATTTCATAACATGTTCATCATCGCAAATCGTTAACATTCTCAATTATGTCTTTCACACAGATAACGGAGAATTTTGACAAAGTGTTTTCATTTCAACCAAGCGAGGTTGCTGCATTGTCACACGAGTAAGATGGAATATTTAATTGAGTCCAGCATTAAGACTTGATCACATGATCCAATTTGTCCAATCAGATTCTACCTTTGTGATGGTTATTCGCTGATACCGATTGTGATATATTATGTGGCATGCAAAAGATGCGTGTTGCAAAATGCACGAAATCCAATCGGTCAAAAGTAGAATCCACACGGAGCGTGTGTAGTCTTTTTTGAAAATTTTATCATCAAATTTTATCAATAAATTTTATTTATTTATTTATTTATTACACAATTTATTATTTTAGTGATCTTCTTTCATATTGTGGGCACATGTATGACCAGATGATTCTACTGGTTAATCAAAGGGACGCTAACGCTGAGGTATTGCACTGGGAATGCTGTTGGCTGGCCGGCACAGGCTGCACAGCAACTGGACCGCCAAGTGCACGAAACCCATCTATTCTAGTGCAATTGAACAGCATGCTTTATGTTTTTGAATGATTTTGTAGGAAATACATCAGCTGCTTGCAGACAGGATCTTCATGACAAAGGTAAAGTGATTTGCTTTAGACGTACAATGTAACCCATTACTGTAGTGTAACAGTTATACTTTTAGTGGCCTAATGTTCCCAACTGTCTGTTTGGATTGCCTACTCTGCCTAAAGTGAATTCGACAGTTTTAAAACGTTGAGTGTTTGCGGATCGAAAACCAACCGCATTCGTTATTCGGTCGAACAAAAAATTGAACATCGATTTTTGCCCTCTTCCAGGAGGTGAACGGGAATGTTTCTCGGGTTGGTTCGCCCCCTCTCAGTCCCACCAACTCGGATTTCATCCAAGCCGAGAAAACGAAGCTTAAGAAAGCAACAGAAGAACTGTAAGTATATCAACAAGAGAACTACATACAACATCTGTTCGAGCCTGTCTAACATGCAAAAATGTTTCGTCTAACGTAAAGAAATATGATGTGTTTTGTTTATAAAACGCTTATAAATTCTGGTTAGGTTACAAGAGTCTCGACACGCGACGGCTTGTGTAATGAGTTGCCTAAAAAGGCGAGAAACGCTTTTGCCAATTTGATAGGGCTAGCTAATACACTGTAAATCTATCACTGAGTTCCACTTGAATTTCCATGAATATAGAAAATGGCAAAAATGAAAATTTTCGACTACCTTTGAGATGGCCGCTCTTGACCCTTCATTTGTCGCGGTCATCACAATACAACGCAATGCCATGCATATATCTAGGACAGAGTATGCCATTGAAGCATATCCATGATATTTGGCCGGCTATTCTCGAGATATTTTGTATCTACAATGAGTATGAAACATCCTCAATCATTTTGTAGCGTTGAGAATCATTTAACTTCGCTCTTTTTAGAGAGGAAAAGAACTTACTTATTCAAGAACTTCGAGATGAACTGGAGTCAAACAAAACGACCCTCGAGACTCTAGTTCAGGAGGTAAAGTGTATTTATTTAATCGAAACCTTAGTTTTGATTATAAAATAACCATTTTAGCGATTAATATTTCTCATCCCCCAATAATTCCCAAAGAGAACATCCTCTTCAGGTATTTCACAGACTACGGTATCTGCAAATTCTTTTTGGATGAATTCTAAACTTTGTTCCCGCTAACGAAGTATATTTTGAAGAACATCTGCCATCACCTTTTTTAAAAACGTGTTTTATATCTGTCAAGCAGTTCTTACAACACTCTATAGCAGAATTTGCTCCCAACAGCTGGTTTGCATTTGCTCGCATTTTTCGCAGACGTGTTTCTGTGTTTGTATACAAGCATGAATGTTTATATTTTTTCTCAACTTCCTCGCTCTCACAATAAACTGCTGCCTGGATTTTGTACATTGGTATTTTTTGCTGAAAGCTCGCGTGTTTATAGAACAAAAGCCTGAGCGAAACATCACGATTCGTAAACGCGTATCGCGACCAATTGGACGTGTTGAAGGTCAAAGCTGAGAAAGTAAATAAACTCGAGAATGAAATAATAAAATACAAAGAAAAACTGATGGAGATGGATGTTCTGAAGAAACGAAAAGAGGTAAGTAGTCGTTGATATGCATGTGTAAGCTTTAACATGTAAACATTTTAAATGGCGTGATACCGTTTATGTTTATAGTAAATTAATTCTAATCAAATGTGGTATAACAACTGCCTAAAATAGACAAAAACACTTCTCGACTAAGGGAGCATTAGTAAAGCCTAGGTTGTAGAGTTGTACGTTACATTTTAGTCGCTACTAATGCGATTCAACAATAGGTAATGAGATCTTACTGTATATTAAGCCTTATTATCATCCCATTACCTCTTTTCGAGTTGCATTCGACGGGACCAAAATGCGACTTACACATATATACCTTAAGCCTATCAGTGTTTATAATCATGCAGAACAGCAGAAGTTGCTTCAAGACGCCATGCCACGCAGCGAATGTTTAGGATCGATTAAGTGTAGCTATATATATGCCTTTTGTTTATCTAGTATAATTATACGAGAATTTTTTGTACTTTATTTCTACAACAGGAACTTGAAGAGCAGAACGAACTTCTTTACAACACAAAAGCGGTTTTAGAAAAGCAAATAAATGCCCTCAATTCGAAAGCGGAGAAACTAGGTAAGCTAGCACGAATGCAAGAAGATGTCCTGGTATTTGTGTCCAAGTTTGTAATCGTGTTTTCGTGAAAATGATTTTAGAACTACAGTATATCTGTGAAATGATTAGTAAGCTACGAGTTCAATGAATTATATGATGCATTGTATTTAAGACACGTGAAATTGATTATGTTTTTTATGGTTCAAATCTTTCAGCTGAGACGGAGCGTGAAGTGGGACGACTTAAGCATGATTTAAAAGATGCTTTACAGGTTTGGATAACGTTCATCTTGAAAATTAATCTAGTGTGTTCATCCCTTTGAAGTATAGGCGCGATGAGTTGGACAAATCTTGCTGAGTATTGTTATTATTAAATTTTTAGGAAAAGAAGACCCTACAAACGAGAAATAGACGTCTTCTTGAGGAGAATGCTGTGGTGATGTTGGAAGCCCAAAACAGGTAACAACCTTTGAAGATTCGGCTCGATTTATAAGGGAACCATTCCTGGTGATTGCACCTTAACTCTTACCCATGAACGCTCATTTTGCCGGAGGGTCTTAATTCCCGTTTTTTTTCAATCTCATTTATGATCACTCAATGTATTGTACGTTAATTATTTGCTTCAAGTTTGGTCGGGTTATTGTTCTTACAGTTGTTGGTTTGCTTTAATGAAATCGTGGAAAAAAAGAGGACAAATCTTTTATCAACTTTAGCTCTCTATTTCCAATTCTCATTCAACGTTTCTCTTTATATGATTTCATGAAAAACGTAGTCTTGCTGAAGTATCCAGTCTAAGCTCGGAATTAAGTATGGCAAAGGACAAAGATGGTAATGCCGAAGGTAAAATGTCTCCTCGGATTTCTTCAAAACTCTGAGTTGCTTCATGAGCCTGCAGTAGATTACTTGCAATGCCAGTAAACTGGTTGACATGCACGTTTGACTATTTTTAGGTACTTGTTTAGCAAGTGAATACAACCAGCTCTCGTAAGTACAGAGAATGTATTCAGTAATCTACAATCTTGAATTGTTTGTTAGTACAACCAACTAATAATGGTCTTTGAAAACAAATGATCTAAAAGTTAGCGTCTAAAATAGAATAAAAATCGAGTTCACTTTGAATTTCAGATCCACCCAGCTTCTGAAGTTGGAGAATGAAAATCATCGCTTGAAGGTTATAATCGCTGAATTAACACAACACAGGGAAAGCGCAGTGCCACAGGTGCGGTTTTTATGTAATTTGTAATTTGTACATATTACTATATGCACATATTGTGCATATTACTATATTCTTTATTACACGAAGTTTCCGCCGTTAATGATCTTTCCATCGTGTTCATTAGACTATGGTATCGGAAGAAGCTGTTCTGCAAGGAGCTTACGAACAGACTACGGAACATGACGAGGGCGTGTCGGAAGGAGCCGAAGTCAGAATCGTTGAAAGACAGTCAAGGTACAGTGCATGGAACTGATTAGAACTGAATGGCGTAAACAGAACCTACATACTTGATCAATTTTCAGGTTTAGGTGAAATTATCATTAATATGTTTGTCTGCCTTCTTTATCTCAGTGTACGAAAGACGCTGCCAGCGAAGGACAGTGCGCTCAGCATCGTTAGAGAAAAACTACAACAGAAAGAAGAGTTTGCCAACAAGATTTCTGAATCATTATCCACCATGGAACAAGAAAACAGCGAACTTCAAGACAGGTAGCTATTGTCTGGCGGCGAAAATCGTGTGCTGACTCGTGCAATATAATTACGTATAGCTGGTTGCAAAATATACGAGGTTTTATGAAGCTCAGACTTCAGGGTTTATTACATATCCACTAAGCGTTGTCCTCCATGGGTCGGTTGTGTAAAACTCTTTAACTACATTTTGCATAGTTAAATCCTAGTTAACTCAGAAATACATGTCCTTTAACTAAAGTTAAAAGTTAACTAGTCTGTCAACTGGTCCCGGAATGCTTCCTTGCCTAAAAAGAATTGTTATGCGAGCGATTAAAGTTTACTGAAATGTCCGACAAAAACAATTAACGAAGCATTTACTGTAAGTTTCTTCGCGGAATAGTAATGCTGTTTATACATAATTCGTCGACAGGATACAACAAGTTATGGCACAGAAACGTCGAAGCGATCAACTGATTCAAAGGAAGAGCGAAGATGTCACGGAGCTTGAAAGAAGGTGAACACGCAGAAAACTTAATTTGAACTTGATATTATTCAGCATTTACCGTTAGATCAGTTGTGTCTTTTGTTCATACCAGGATAGTCGGGAAATTGCCTTGTTTTCTATGTAGGCTTGAGGAAGTCACTGCCGAAAGACAAAAATGTGAGGCAACATTACGACAGAAGTCGAGAGAAATAAACGAACTCACCAACAAGTTAGTGTGATAAAGGCTGTTACTGTTAGTTTTGCAGGCTAAGTACAAGTAGTTTTGCATTGGTACATATGAAAATGAAAATGTTTATATTCTTAACTCTGTGTTCATAGTCTATCAGAATTCAAGGAAGATAAGGAAAGATCAGTGGAAGCAAAGGAAAAGAAAACGAAAGACCTCAATGATTTAAAAGAAAGGTAAAAGGATATATTTTACTTTGTTCTGTGGTACCGCAGAGTACCATACAATATCCATTCAAGTACATCTCGAAATATTCATAGATTGCTAAACGTGCATATAGGCCTATTTTCAATTGTTTAACAACAGGAATGTCAGGAAAGACCCTTACTGAAATACATGCATACATGATACATGCGTTTCAAATTAATGTGGTTGGGGAGTAATTGATGACACGGCATACATATTTTTTTAATCCAATTTCTATGCAGGATGGATGTCTTACTATCTGAGAAAGAAAAGCTAGGAGATACTTTAGTTACCAAAGACAAGAAACTTGTCGATTTGGAGAACAGGTGAACTCTCCTGTACAATATCCTGTACTATTTCAACTGGTTGGGTAAAAAAGCCAGCCACACTATTTCTCGAAGTGACACTCGCTTATGCATGTTTGCGTTTTGGACAGACTTCAGCGAGTCGAAGAAGCGAATAAAGAACTTGTGCAGACATTGGAATCCCAACGTGATAAAATATCAAGTCAGGAAAGAAGGTAGTGTATATTTTCATCGAGAACAATAATAAAGTGGGTTACATAATATTGCATTCTATAGTTTCATGTTTCGTTGAAACATGAAAATATTGACAATCAATAAAATTTTCGCCCTAGAGTGGCAGAATTACTCTCGGCAGAGAAAGAGGAGGAAAGAAAATATTCGGAAACTATTCGTGAAAAAGACAGAAGAATCAAAGAGTTTGAAAGAAGGTTTGTTGTAATGCTATGACTATCGATGTAGCTTTTTTAGCTCTTAAATGATAGACTTAACCCTCGATAAAAACTCTTAGCGTGTGGATCAGAAGAAATGACGTTAGGCTGTGGTAACAAAATAGCTAGATATGAATTTAGGTAGTTGTGTTCATTATTTATGGCATACAGGTTTATTTTAAGGAGTATTCTATGTATTATGTGTAGGATAAGTCATTTGATCGAAATCGAAGCTGAACTAGAAAAACTGAATTACACATTAAAACAAAAAGATCGAAAAGCGGACGGATTTCTGAAAACGATTGAAGAAAAAGACCAGGAAATCGTGCGGTTGGAAAACAGGTGAACATGCACGTCGATTCTTTAATTCTAAGCAATCCTAGTATAGAAGATGATTTATTTTGACGACAGTAAAGGCAGAAGAATCCCGTCTATTCGAATCTAAGAAATATGGTAAATAGGTCATACTAACCATTACTTTTCAACTTGGCAGAATTGAAGACGAAAACAGCAAGAATAACAAGTTGGTGTATAATCTTGAGCTACGGGAAAAGAAGGTCGAATCTTTGGAACAAAGGTAAAGAGTTTCTCTGTATTTAACCATCTTGACATTGCTTCACCTGGAATACGATGAATACGGCCTAGTTAAGATTAGGGTATCAGGGTTTTGTATTAGAGTTTTTGAAGTTATTTTAATCTTCTTCTAGGTTGGAGAAAGTGGAAAGCAAAGCAGAGAAACAGGAGAGTAACGATGACAAAATACGACGAGAAATTCTAGAAACAAAAGACGACAAAATATTGGAATTAGAAAGCCGGTTGGTATTTTCTAAATATTTCAAAATCCTAGTTCGCATTGAACCAATTAAACATACAAGTATACCCCCCTTTCTCCTAATTTTACCCTTCGTCACCCCTCTTATCACCCGTCTCCTTCCCTGGAATTGAACGTCACGGCAACTCTCACATGATAACATCCCATCTGCATAATAACTCTTCTCAGAATAGAAAGCCATAGCCCTTACCCCTTTGAAATAGAACACCCGCACCGATATATACTCGATGTGCAAATGTTTAGATTGGAAGACGCGTTAACGCACTGTAAGAAACTACAGCATACCCTCAAGGTGAAAGATGAGAAGATAGTGAGTTTAGAGACGAGGTACGCACTGTAACAACTTGATCATTTTACGGGACATGTAGCAGTGCTCGGAAGCTTTCGTCCAATTGGATAATGCTTTTCTATGCTTTCTAAAGAACGAAGCTATGCTATTGGTTGAAACAGAGATGTATTGTAAAGTTCAGCCAATGAAAATCATTCTTGCGAGGAGCTGCGACACTACGCGCGCATTTTACCGCTTGTATTGTTTGGTACGACAGCATGTTAGTCACGTGCAACTATGCAATGATTTGTTTAGGCTAGAGGAGGCTCACGTGTTTGAACTGGAATGCAACAAGATGACGAATTCAATTGACGAAAAGAAAAAGCGAATTGCTTTGCTTGAATCAAGGTGGATACTGTAGATAATGAAATAAAAGTAATTAGGCATGTTTAATCTAGGTTTATCAAGAGCTTTTATTTCTTATACAGTATTATTACTGATGATATATGTACTGTAAAGTCGGTATGTATTGTAAATTGTTGTGATCTGTCTTGTAGCTTAGATGAAGTATCAGGTGAAAGTCATAAATTGTCCTGTGACTTGAAGTTGAAAGAGACAAAAGTAAAAGATCTTGAAGAAAGGTTAGTACCGGATTGAAAGTTAATTTTTTATTAGATTTCGATCATTTATCTTTATCCGTATACTCACATCAACTGATCGCATTGATCTACTGCATAGGAAATGTACACGAATTTCGCTTCCTCAATCACTTTGAATGTATATTGGACAGTAAATAGTTTTACACCGCTGTCATTGTTTCGCAAAAACTGAAAGTTTTAGTAAACGTCGAATACTTCATTTAACACTCAGGATTCGTTCCATGGAGAGTGAAAAACATGAAAGCGAGAGAGTGCGTTTGACATTAAAAGAAAAAGAGGACAATGCGGTTTTCCTTGGTGAGAAAGTCAAAACGTGTATGGAAGAACTTGCTGTACTTGAAAACAGGTTTGTTTTGGAAAAAAAGCGAACATATTTTGTTAAAACATTTGAGATAGATGTATGAAATTGATGTATAATTCACAAGTCCAGGGCACTATATAGTTGTGCACATGATTATACACAATATATATATAAATATCCGTGTGTGTAAAACGTGCAGTATAGTGCAGTCTGTTTAGATATGTGATGTTGTGCCCGTACGAATTACTTTTATCACACCGAAGTGAAAAATTCCGTTTGCCTTTTAAAGGAACAGCTTTTATATTATGTTAATATAATTCTTAATCTCCAATTGTAGTACAAACTGGCAAGGGTTAGTTGATGCATAACTAATAATTTATTTTCAACATAATAGAATTCCCAAAGGAATTAAAAAATGCTGTTCACTGATTAATAATCGTATGCTAATATATTCCAATTCTTGTTTGTTGGACAGTACTAGAACTGAAAAACACTAATCATACTCTTTGTACGGCTTTGTCAGGAAATAAATCAGCTTTCCGCATGTTCTACAACATTTCAAAAAGGGCAATCTTGAAATTATTGTAAGGATGAATTTCCTGTTGCATAAGAAAAATTTGTCAGCGAAATATTTGCATGTTTCCTTTTGGATTTTCCTTTGAATTTTACTTAAACTTAGTTCAACATGGCTTCTCAAAATTCAAAACCAAGCACACAAATACAAAGGTTTTCTCTGCAAGCAGAGTCTTTAATCCCACGCGTGCATAACCTCTTGTCTCTGCGTAGTATTCTGTCTATGTTTTTACCACGTTATACGATACGCGTGGTTACAACATCGCATCTTGGCCAAGATTATTCATCAAATGTTTTTCTTCCAGGATCGAGGAAGCAAACGGCCAGAACAGGAAGCTTCAACATTCAGTTAAAATAAAGGAAGACAGAATTGCCAATTTGGAAACAAGGTAGTTAAAGTCGGCAATTCAGCAGCTAGCGCATACCTTGCTAGTTTGATTTAGCTATACCATACAGTTAGACCCCCCAGCTATACAGCTGTTGCCACCCGGCTGACGAGGTCTCTATCCGGGGAAAGCATGAGATTAGTTCTTATGGCTATAGCTCAAGTTCAGCCTCCTGTTTGAGCCACTATGAACATACATTGTTTCTTACCCGTTAGTGTTCTTGAACTGGAAGAAATGAAGAGTCATAACCAGAAGATGAAACAAGTTGTCCAGCAGAAAGAGGAAAAGATCAGAGCAATGGAAGAAAAGTGAGTTTTTCTCGATATTTGGCATTTCGGGACCTACGCACTCACTGATCTGAACGACATTTTTTTCACAGGATGGATGCATATAGCGAAGCAAGTCGACAATGCGAAAGGCTGGCGCAGAAATTGAGCGACCACGAAGCACGCTCAACATTGTTGACTAGCAGGTAATCCAGACAATTCTATGACGATGAGCTGATACTTGCTGCATCTTTCTGCGAAGTAATATCTCGATAGTTTACACTAAAAATATTACGTTATAAAGAATTTTTCACATTTCAAGCAAAAGGCTTTTTTATCAAACCGCGCGCGCTATTCACTAAATTGTCTCTTAAACTTCAAACATTGACAACTTTTTTATGCGATCTCGCTCAGGATCACCGAATTGGAAGAGCATGAACGGAACAATAAGAGGCTGAAACTAATGGTAGCACAGAAGGATGATAGAATTAAACATTTGGAACAAAGGTACATGTAGCTACCAGCCGAATAAATAGCTGAGATTCTCTAAACATATTCTCCTTTAATGCGGAAGACAAGGCTCACTTTGACCGATTCTGTTTTTGTTGATGGCTTACTATATGTATTTTGGTATTTCATAAGTCATCAAGATGTGCAGATGAAGTGTACGAATCTGGAGAACGAGGTTTCCAAGGCGCACAGCAAATATGAAGAAAAAGTCAAACGCAGGTATATATTATATTTATACGCCTGTATTCAAAAAACTCACGTGCACTTACACTGATTAAGTGTGACATAGAAATTTTATTACTTTTCAATGAGAAAGTTCTTTTTTAATCAATGGGAAAATCTAAGGTGAAGCACTGAATATCAGGCTTTTATTCGATCGAAATTACCGTCATGGAAACGTTATCAGAAGATTGATATCTCTCACTCAATGAGTTTGAGTGTGAAGAATGCAGACGTCAGTATCGTACAGTGTGTATTGAGTTGTCCACATTGGACAACCAGATTTGGAATAATACGAAGTATGTAGGGTTGCCAGTGATATTTTCTTGATTGGAGATTATGTTGGTGCTTGAAATAGGACGAATACTTGTTAAGTTTAGTATTTGTGCGTAGCTTAGGTTTAGTTTAAGAGGACTATTAATGAGATTTAAGACTATTATTGAGTATTTATAGTATTATGCATCATTCAGCCGAAATTACACCGGAATAATTGCTGTAATTCTTTTCTAATCGATGAAATTCCTTTTTTGCTCAGTCTGGAAGATGTGGACACGCACAAAATACGTCGTATCGAAAGTGTTCGCCGTCGAGAGGAGCAAATTAAATCGTTGGAGAAATCTCGAACAAAGTACGTGCGTGCCTGAATGCGTGTGTGTTGTTTTCTGCGCATGCCTGTGGAATGTATTTGGATCATATATGTGTAACTGGAGTGCTTACGAAATCATGAGAATCATTTGATGTTGTTTTCAGATTGGAAACTGTGTTGCACGCTCAAGAAGGACATATTCAGTCTCTTCAGGATCGGTACGTTTGAGGAGTAATTTCGTCAACATAAAATCCATTATTTGCAGTTAAGAATTTAGTAGTTCAAAGTCTGCCGTGACTCGCATTCTATATTTACGTTAACCATGCAAATTCTTTGCTATTCCCAGGTTAGAAGGTTCGGTAAGCGAAAGGAACAAACTGCAAGCAAGCATTGGCCAAAAGGAAACGATCATTAATCAACTTCAAACGAGGTATAAAAACTACTCCATTTGCTTGCACTATAATTAAAAAAACGCCCCAAGGGGACACTGTTACATATCGATTGTCGTTAAAACTGTACGCTGTTCCTGTTATCTCTCAAGTTGTCTTGCATTTGATATCAGATTGAAAACCATAATTTTAAATCAATTTAGAGTCCTAGAACTCGACGAATCTACAAGCGAGACGAAGAAGCTGAACGAGTCGGTTAAGAAAAAAGACGAGGCGATAAAACGATTTGAAGATAGGTAAACCTGCAGCAACTTCTAATATGCATTCCTACTGCTCGCTATACGACTCCGAAACAAGGATATGGCAAAGTATACCGGCTATAGATCATGTTCATGCAATGAATAATGCCAAGTGTTTTTTAGAGTTCGAGAGGTTGAATTAGTGTTATCAAGAACTAAAACATCGAATCGAGAGAAGGATGAAAAGTTGGAGGCGCTTCAAAAGAGGTACCGCTTTTTGATAAGGGTTCATGCCTTTGTCAAAAAAGGATGAAAATAGACTTTTCTTATAATGACGTAAAACGTGGGAACCCTGATGTTGTTACACAAGTAGTTTTGGAAATAAGCCTTTCTGAATCCAGATTTATGAATCTGTTGCGTTTTTCATGCAAAGCCACGGCCATTTGAGCAGCTCATTTTCGTTTGGCAGGATTGATGAATGCGAGGAACAAAACAAAAAACAGGATGGAAAATTAAAGAAGAGAGACACGGCTTTGCAGAAAGCCGAACGAGATTTGGAAAAAGTTGACAACAGGTATAATATTTATTTTGGAATCTGTTTGTCTCTAATTCCGTTCTTTTATCGTAAATTATCGTTTTACGTAGGAAAAGAGAATTGGAAAACTCGTTAGAAAGGAAGTCGAAGAATTTGGAGGAACGAAATTCCAGGTAGAATTACATAAAGTATTTTAGGTTATCTAAATACAACAGCAATCGTCATTTGAGTGATGTCATAGAATAACGTGCTTAATGTGCTTAACAACGTTGTTAGCTTAACTTATACATCAACTATAAATTATTTTCCACATTGCCTGTTCAAGGATATTAGAACTGGAAGCTTGTTTGGACGAAATTCATCATGTGAAAAGCAATTTGACTTTTAAACATAGCCAAGAGTCTTTGCTGCTGAGGTAAGAAGCAGTTCTGATGTTTTCCCGCCATATTTGAAATTGAAGTTAAATATGAAATTTAAATCTGCGCTTAGTCCCAGGACCACGACGTCATCCTTAAACGACGCCAGCAAAATTGAGACACTCAAACAAAAATTGTGGGACGCTGAGGCAAAGTAAGTGCACAAGGTTTTATTCTTTAAATCTATTTATTTTAATCTTCTCTGTACAAATATACTTTACTTTGTGAAGGGATAATGACTATTTTTGACACGTTGCACAATCTGTAGTGATTTCACATCTTACAATTCAATGATCGTGTTTAGAGTCGAAGAGACTGAAAACGAGAAAGGAAAACTACAGCATCAAATTAAAAGAAAGGAATCACAAATCCAAGATTTGGAACAGCGGTGAGTTTACTGTCGCACCAGTTCCCTCCTCAGAAAATGAGAGGCTCGATTTCCATGTTATATTGAAACCTGAATAACATTACTAATGTAACTGACATTGTTAATCCAAGTCTAATCCTGTGTATTCTAATCCTCCACCTTCATACAATATATTTTCTTTGGTTTATTGCTTAGATTACAGGAAACGTCTGATGCTCTTGAAGAAAACGAACGTTTGAAACAAAACATTAAACATAAAGAGGAAAGAGTGAGAATCTTGCAAGTCAGTCTTGATCAAAACCAGCAGGAAATTAACTCACTTGAAAGTCGGTAAGTCGGTAAAAACACTGTATTTTTGGTTGTTACGTTCTTGCTAACGGATGTAAAGTTGTAAACTATTCACAGAGATACTCAAATAACATAATATTAAATCATCATAGCGAGTTCCTGAATTTTGACAATAAGAATAAACATTATTTAGCCTGGAAAGTACGACTTCTGAAGTGTATAAGTTACGAAAGGTTGACGAGGAAAAGCGAAAACGTATCAATAGTTTTAAAATGAAGTTGGAGGAAGCTGGTGATACAACACAAAAAGATGAGAGAATCCTGTCTTTGGAGGAAAAGTATGTTTTACCTTTCGTTCTACTCTTTTGCCGGTTTCTCTGTAGGTTCCGACATTCCCTGCATCTGAAAGTTTTAAAAGAGAAAACTTTTGTACAGTTTTAAGTTATTTGTGCTGGCTGAGATGCAGCAATCTTGCTTCATGTTCCAAACAACATCTTTGTGTTAGATAATGTTTGTAATATACCCCTTGCCGTAAGTTTTTTCATTTGTCTTTAGAAATATTGAATTAGAACGAGAAAGGAATGATTTAAAAGAGGTTGGTTATAAATTATTTTACCTGGTCCATGCAGTACATATCTCGCTGTATTTCTGGTGAGAATGCTGTGTCATACTATCGTTATCTTCGCTGCGTTTAGAGTTTATCATCGCTTGAAGCTGAGTTTGAAAGAGTTCGCGAGAGGAAAGCATCAGGTGAAACAGTTATAATTGGTTCTTCACCAAGACACAGGTTAGTCTATGGTAGTTAAGAGTCGCGTACACGATCGTGTATGAGAAGTGCACGTGAAGTCGCTTAATGTTGAATTATGTTGTTTCCTATCGTTTTCCACAGACCAGACGTTGCCTGTGTAACAGCAGAGAATGCTGGAAATCTTGAAACAAAATATGACGAACTCGAGAAAGAGGTACTGTTGTGATTTAACTGAGATCAAGATTATGTTTTGTTAGGGTTACGATACACATGGTCAAAAGACCACTTTTAAACCATTTACAGACAGTCACGTTGAGTTTACTCTCAGAAGCTAGTTTCGCCATTTGAGCTTGAAACTTTACCTTGGCAAAAGTCCATGAATTAAGACTTTGATCTCACGAAATGATTTAAAGCTCGCTTGGCCAGAGAGCATTCTCACTTCGTCTATAACAACAACACATATGCTTGTTGTACTCAGGGTCACATCAGCGAGACTGACTTTAAATTGTGCAAAAGTGCTTTTTCATCGTCTCTATTTTTTAACTGACAATACATAATTTTTCAGTCATTCTCTCAAACACAATATCGTTTGTTTCAGTGTGAAAAACTGCGGCTTAGTAAAGAACGAACCGAAGCAAGATATTCGTCGTTAAAGGAAGAAAACAAGTCTTTATCAAAGGACCTGGAGACAGTACAATCAGATTATGATCAGTTGCTGAACGATATCAATGAATTGAAGGAAAGTTATACTGAACTGGACTTATCATCTGCCAAGTCTCTACATCGCTGTGAGGTAAGATGGTGTGGTGTGATGTGGTGTGCGGTCTGGTGTGGTGTGGTTCTACATCGCTGTGAGGTAAGATGGTGTGGTGTGGTGTGGTGTGGTGTGGTGTGGTGTGGTGTGGTGTGGTGTGGTGTGGCGTGGCGTGGCGTGTGGTGTGTGTGGTGTGGCGTAGCGTGGTGTGGTGTGGTTGGTGGGGGTGTGTGGCGTGGCGTGGTGTGGTGTGGCGTGGGGAAGGGTGGTGTGGTGTGGTGTGATGTGATGTGGTATGGTGTGGGGTGATGTAGTGTGGTGTGATGTGCTTGGCGTGGCGTGATATCTATCATAGACTGATGGACAAACTTATCAATATAGATGCTGACTCAAATGAACAGTACTTTGGAAGAAGAAAACAAAATGTTGATGGAGCAATTGAATAAACTTCTCACGCAGGTTAGTAAGGACAAAAAGACTGTACTGAACTATATAGATGCATGTACGTATTAGACAAGTTTGTCAATATTTAATCATTTGAAAAATTCAGTTGTTTTGCATCGTGTGTTTGAATGTAGAATCAAGAATTACTGACCGAGTCCTTGGTAAGCCGTGATCAATTTTTGGAAGAGGAAAGAACATTTTCGTAAGTATGATGTATGAGCAAACTTGTATGAGTCCACTCTCTCGGCGATGAGTTTTATCTGCCTTACGTTTTCCTTTTTATCATTTCTGTGCAATTTTCATGTTTCTTACAAAATTGCAACGAACTTTCTTTTAGTGATCGTTTGTACGAACTTCAAAGGCAAAAGGAAAAGTTGGAGGAAAAGATTGAGCAAGCAAACAGAAGTCTTGCTGAGAATACTCCGAAGAAGTACGTTCCTAAAAAAATGGAGATATTTTGGGCCATAAAGTAGAAGTACTTTCACCTAAAAATTCGGCGGTTAAAACGCTTGTTTAATTCAATCTTTATCTATTTATTAAGGAAAAGCAATCTGTTTAAGAAGGTATTACAAAAAGCTGGTTTGAAAAAGGTATGTGTTTTTTCCTGCAGTATGTCCATTCACCATCCATTTTCTGCTGGGATGCTGTGTGATATTGTACAACCTTGTTTTGAACCATTCAGCCTGTGCACTGTACACAGGTTTTATGACTTAGAGGTGTAATTCTTCATGATAATGTTATTACAACTTGTTAAAGCTTAACAAGTTGTAGTTGATTTTTGCTTTGCTTCATATAAGCAAGTGCAAGTCATTGGCTAAGTTACAAGTCTGTTATCTGTTAAAATGTTATTTTTATTTATACTGGTTTCTTCAGTGCATATTGCATGTTTTTAAAAGCTTAAAATCAGCTGTAGTCTGATCCTCATGAGCACTGAGTGGAACAGCGAACATAATGGCTCAATTGGACATCAACGATCATTAAAATTGTAGATTTGTTTCCAATTGTGGTATTTAATCTTTTCTCCCATTTTTACGAAATAGAAAAAAGATGACGGGTTGAAAAATAAATCCTCTGTTCAGCTTATCAAGTATGACCAGAGTCCTAATGCAAGTGCTGAAGGGTCACCTGACATGTCAGTAGACGGTCACTTCACGATGTCACCCGAGAAGGCAAGTGACTCGTCAAACTTCAGCGAGAGTTTGAACTCGGACCTTTCCCCCGAACACGACCTCTCGCCTTTGGCTCGGAGACGAGCCCGCATTAACCGAGCAAATCGTCAGCGGATTGTACGGTCAGAGTACTTCACGCCAGCGATGGCAAACAGCCTCGCTATCCAAGGACGAAGCCGGAGCATGGACGCTAAGGAGTTCATTCGTGATGTGGTAAATGCGCAGGGATCTGAGGCGAGTCCCGTGCAGGTGTCGTCCAGTAACTCAATGACGCTTTTAAACGAGCCATCGCTAAATGATTCGGAAGGTCTGGGGCGAGAAGAGAAACCCAGCCAAGATGTTAGTAGAACGCTTAGTTTTTCTCAAGCAAATGATGAGGGTGGTCAGTGGCACTCGCCGGCTCATGCAAGAAGGAAAAGTTCTGAAAGTCGAGGAAAGAAACCTCCAGAGTACAAACCCGTTGAAGTAAATGGTGAAAATTCTGCTCGTGTTAGAACGGAAATTGTCAGTAATAAAGTGGAAATTACTCCGAAGTCTCTTCCTCTCGGGAGAAAGGAAAGTGGTAGTGGTAAACTGGAAACACGTTATCGAAAAACCTCCGAAAATTCTCCTCGGGTTTGGAGAAGAAGTATTGGTAACAAGGTGGAAGTGTCTGAGCTGCCCGCATTGGAAGCTCGCGTATCAAGATCGTCAAACTACGACGATAGCTCGGGTGGTTCACGAAAGATCTCCGAATCCAGTCGGAAGAGCTCGGACGTGAGTTCGCTGCATTCTCGGACGTCAAGTATCACGGAAAGTGAATCGTCTAAGATCATTGTCCGCCATGTTGGTTCAACCGCTGGCATGAGTGGTCCAGAGCGAGTTGAGAACAGACATCATGTCAATAGTGGCGTTGAAAAAAATGCCAGCTTCATTGGTGATTTGCAGGTATGGGAGGCTAGACATTACATCCTAGTTACCAACAACTTGAAATCAAGACAGGCTTTATAATCTTTTATGTACTTTTTATTGGCAAAGAAAAAATTCTGTGTCAATATTGACGTGCATAAAAACAAAACCTAATCTCATCAACGAATAATCAGACAAACCTTCGTGATCAAAATATAGGACAAAAACAAGCAGTACATGACATGAACTAGATGTGTAGTTTTATTTTCTTAAAACGTTCAATAATCTCTGGAAATAGCTCAACGTAATTTAAGAGTCTTTTTTTATAAAGCCCTCGATCGAGTAAATTACATGATAGATGTTTTCTTTGACCTGTACACCTTATGTCAGCTCAAATCTGCTCAAATTCTAGAGACCGTCATCAGGAAGCTCAGACAACAGTGGTGGGAACGAGATACCAAAACGTTTATCCAGGCAACTAAGCACTCCTCCTCTTCCATTACCCGGTTCACGTCCATCTGCCTCACAGAACACACCTACCAATGACCCTCCACCGTTTGCAGAACGAGCTAAAGAAAAACCGCAAACGAGACGCTCCAATTCCTTTGCGGAAAGACCGCAATCCCCATCTCAAGGTAGAAGCCACGTTCAGCGTCAAAATTCCGATCGGGTTTTGGTCAGTTCACTTGAAATAGATCGTAGAAACTCAACTCATGCCACGCCCATCACATCCTTCGCGGGCGATAGGCATCGGCGCCCGCAGTCTGTTGGTCAGCGTCCCGACTCGGTCCAAAACACGGGTCAGAGTATCGGTATAGTATCCTTCAAAGAAGTCCCTGGCGTGCAGTCTGCCGTGTTGGAGTCGAGCCCTCGGATCGAGAGAAAGGAACGCAATCTTAATCCAGACGAGAAAAGGACAGCGCAGACTGGAAACGAGCCAAAATTGAAGGAAACCGCAAATAGGGGACCGCAGACGCCAAAATCTCTAAGGCGAACTGCTAAGGTTGAAAATCTTGCGCCGAAAAATGATAAAGACACGGAGAAGTCTGCGCTTTGGTACGAGTATGGCCAGGTTTAAAGCATTGTTGGTTTGAATTTTAAATGTACTAATTTATATGATAATTTATTTCCTTTTATATGTGTATACATACATACATGCAATGTAAATATTAACACGAAAACTTCCTAACAAGCTGTCTCAGTCTGACGAAAACGGAATGAAAACCCACACACCGAAAAAGTTGCTATTACAAAAAAAATTGTGTTGTATGTGTAGGATTACAGTTCATCACAATAGAAATTAGTGAGCTTTAAGCAAGTGACGTTTTTGACAACAAAAGGACTGGGTCTAGGATTGTGATTGGTGAAAAACAAAAACTTTACTTCCGTCCAAAACGTCACTTGCTTTAGCTTACTCTTGTTTGCTAAGTTCGATTCCATTTTCGTCACGGGGACATTGTGGGAAAAATATTTTACAGAGAAACATAATATTAAATTTCATTATTGATGGGCCTATACTCTTCATAAATATAATGATTAAAATGAATAATGGTTTGTTACCAATGCAATAGCGTTGTCTGAATTAAACAATTTAACTTCATGATGTTTTTACCAGTGGCTTTAATGGCGTTTTTAATAGAGAAGTAACTATAGATTATTTTTGTACCATCGAATTTCCCCCAAATGTACACGTCATGCACACGCCACCGCACTTGCTGGGAAAATGGCTGCCAGTGAAATTAGTGAAATAGGTCACGCGGCAGAGAGCATAAAAACAATGACGTAATGACTCGACGACTACGAGTTTTGGCTGATGGCGTAAGCAAACAACGCGCAAGAATGACGAATCTCTTACTCGTAGTCGCTGCTAAAGCTCCCTATTGTTTTCAGGAGACTGTTGAAGTGTTGCTTCGTTAAATCAAAGCTTTCTTTTTAAAAACATTTTTAAATGTTGAAATTTAACATATACTTTATATTCCATATTCATGTCACTATCAAGAATGATGCATTATTCTAAATGACAATGTGTTACCTACTTTTACTGCACCAATATGTACCCGAATGCTGGAATATTTTTTATCCCGGTTGCCGAAGCACACATGACACGATTACCGCAGGCGAGATTAATCACTGAACTTGAACAACCAGTGTAGCTTACACCAAAACCTATCCACGAGTCAGAGGTCAAACAATCGTTTTCGTTGTTAGCAATGAATCCAACTCGTGCATAAAGAGATAGAAATCTATGTCTAATGACACTATTTTTTACACCGAAACCCTCACTGTTGCAATTTTGTTGCAAAGAGGAGCCCGCGATCAAAGACTTCCAAGCAATTCTGCCAGCGTTTGTGCGTCGATATCGTCCGTCTGCGATCACACTGTACAGCGAGCTACTCTCTTTAACTAAGGTCATCCATCTCCTGTCGCCATTAACGTTCATACCAAGACAGAGTTTCTTAAAAGGAGTGTTCCAATAAAAGGCCAGTTTACTTTCTTTCTCTGTTAGTCCTTCAAGTCCATCTTCAACTGCATAACTTTCATTGTTTGTCCACAAAGATGCATCATGGTTGAATGTAGGCTACAGAATAAAGAATATTCATTAAACCGTGATTAAACCAAGTGATATCATGGTAATATTTTTTCCTGAAATTTTGAAATTTCTTCAATTGCTTTATTACTTATTATTTACAATCAAATCTATCCACCTTGTTTCCGTCCACTTTCAACACTAGTGTCCAGCCTCCAGGTCCACAACCTGGAATATCTGTCATGTGACAATATGCCTCGTATGGTGTCGAGGATGTGTTTAACTGCAGAGTGTGAGCACCATTAGGCGTTGATCTAGATTAAATAACTCTTTTAACACTCACAGTTCTGCCCAGCAAGAAGCCGACAAAACAGTTGTCAGATGTATGTAAAACTCACGGTCTTTTAAGTAGCAAGTCTTCGCAAGATGAGACAACTTCGCATTGTTTTGAAACTAAAATGATAGAAAAAACAGCATCATTATGTTGCTTAGACACTCCATTCTGTATAATTTATATGCTTGAACTTACCCAAGGAATATACCTGACCAGGCTCCGAGCACATCTAAGAAAGAATGATAATGCAGAACACAGTTTCATTACGATTGGATACAAAACAAAGCGCGGTGTAACAGCCTCGTTCCCAGGCTCTTTGAAGTACTTCGCGGAATAGGACTAAGTGCGCGGGGGTGCTTGGGGAGGTCGCGAAGTCGCAGCTGACGGTGTATAAACAATCGTGCTTTTCACGCACGTTCATCAGCATCATCTTCGTCATTGGCTGTTATTGCTTCTTCTGCTTTTACGAAATTCTTCCGTATTCCGCGTTTCGATAAATCTTCTTTCCCCCTCCCCCCCATTTCTTCCAAACAGATGAGCGTCTCTGGTGTTAGTCAAGCTCCTGAATTTGTTGAACGGTTTCTAATTTCAACTTCATTTGTTTAAAATGCACAATTCTTTAAGGGTATTATACCCTGTTTCCGTCTTTGCAATTTATTTTTTTTCAAGTTGTTTCATAATTAACGGTAATATATAAATGTCTAATGAAGTGGTTAAATAAAGTTTTTGATTGATTGATAATATCATTTCATATAACTTACCCTAGTCCTATAAGGGTTTGTCAGTTCGTAGTATTCAAAGTCTTTGTAATGATGAAAATTTGTTGCAGGGATCTCTGATGCAATATCTTGGAGAAATTCGCAATTTTTCTCTGAATTTGAGCATTTTTGGAAATTGGTAGATCTGCAGGCTTTATTGTCACGTGCACAAAAGTAAATGCATTCTACTCCCGTTTCTGCGTGGACTTTTTCTATCACTTCGCTGTTCAAACGACGACCTTTGGGATGACATAAGAAAAGACAATGCATAATACTGGCACAAATTTGTCACTTTATTTTCTTAATCTAAAATCATGTGACAGGAGCGAACACACTTGGTTGAATGAAAAGAGTTTTAAGTGGCATAGTCATCACTCTGTCAATCTGAATGCTTCAAAGAAATAATTACTCAAGTTCAACCCACTGAATTTAAGATTTCTTTAGTAAAAATTACATCCAGTGTGTACTTCTCACAGTTTCAGGTGACATTAATTCTGGCGCCAAAAATTATTCTGCTTCTTAACCGCTGAACAGGAAAATCACGTTTTTAAAATTTTTCGATTGCAAGAATTTTGTCTTCTGTCGTCTGTCTTTGGCGAAATCTGTCTCCTTGCCGAATGGCGTGGGACTGTATAAACTTGAACGATGTTTTTGACCCCACGATTTAAACAAAACGATTTTTCAATCAGCTGCCAAACGTAGTTCGCGCTAGCGTGTAAACATTATCCTCTGTCAAAAATCATCTTTGACCTAACGAATTTGAGTTGGATGAAAACGGGAAGTGAATTTTCGATGAATTGACTTGTTTAGTTGAAAGATGATTTTTAATGCTTGTATTTTCTATCGGTAAAACGGTCAGCATTTTCATATAATGAAACGAGTAGTTTGTTCATAGCTTTTGCCTTTTTCAATTACTGTTTTATTAAATGAGAGCCTGGCAATGCAATCACAGAGGCAGACAATCGGCCCATTTGATAGTTTTGTCAATTCTGACATGCAAAAGGGATTTTATTTTTCAAGACCTTACCTTCATTTGGTCCCTGGAAGCAAAAATCAAGACCGTATCCAAAAGGTTGAAGGTTAAAAAATATCAGCAAAAGAAGATGGACTCTGTGGAATACATGCGCTAATCGTCCTGGCTGCAAAATCAATAAAATCTCACATGACACATGATAAATATCTGTGCCAATATCATTTTGTTTGCCAGACGACATGTTGACGTACAATTTGGCCTGATTTTGCATCCCCTAACCTCTGAACCGACAGACAGAAAGTTTAACTTTGTCTGAAAAAAAACTATTTAGTCTACTATAGCCTAATGACATATAAGAAATCCTGTTTATAGGAAATTTTCACCTGCTCGCTCTAAAGTTTAATGAACTAGCAGTTTTTATTGCATTTCTCAGGAAGATGAAGTACATGTCAGATAGCATAATAAAAAGTGCACTTATTTATCGAATATAGCGTGGATAGCGTATGTATTGAGGATTAAGAAATAAAGTAGGAATAAAGAGCGAGCTTAAAACGAAGCTTTCGGTAAGAAAAGTGACAGGAAACAGACTTATATGAATATATCATGTGATTTATTTCAATAACGCCGTTTTAATAACACAGAACTTTATTAAGCGAGCTTGCATGATATCTGTGCAATATAATGTCACGCCGAGTTTTCTTTGTACTGACCGAGCTGGCGTGCTGAGCGACAGTTGTACAAAACGACCGAGGCTCATAATTATTACAATGTAAATTTGATTTACTTTTCCGTTTTTTTTGCTATTTCTTTTTAATTTTCGTCTTTTAAAGACCGCGAAAAAAAGGTGAGGAACGCGATTCAACGAAGCCTGAGATGATTTTGACGTATTGAAATTAGTCTTTGTGAAACTACTAAAGCAAACGCATGCTATTGTTTGGATGCATGACTACACCATTGTCAGGATCATGTTATATGTATATTCATTTAAATACACCAAAGTCATTTTACGTGACTTCAATTGTTCAATCTCGGCTAAAGCAGCACTATGCAAACAGCCCTTATGTCTGGGTAATATATTGAATATTATGATTGCTTCATGTTAGAAGCATATTGCTTCATTTTGTTTGAATTCCAAGCATGCACGCCTTCAATCGGAACGTTTCACGTAGTAAAAAGGCCTGTGTTTCTTACTTTTGTGATGTTCTTTTGTTTTCTTGGCAGCAACTAATGCGATCTGGACTCGTTTTCAGCTAATGACACGTATTTCGTAATCATCACTCGCATGAAGGCACCGCGTGCATTTTAACTTGACAAAATACATGTTTAGTTCACTGCTGGTTTGCTGAATGATTTGTACTATATTATATAGTACTACTTAATTTGTTCGACGTTAAAATTCTACGCGCGCAATCAAGCTCTGTAATTGTGGCTTATTCCGAATTAAGAAGGTGTACTCGACGTGTTTACCAAGGGCCACTACAGTGTATATTTAGCACGAGGACTCTGGCACGAGGAGATGCTGTTGTTGGCTATAAAGGTATTTATTGTGCTGGGGTCGGTTGTATCAAGCCCGTTAAACGGTGATTAAGTCAAAAATAGAAAGCAAGTCTAGGGTTTTATTGAACAAGCGAATTGAACGTTTTTAACCTTAATACAAAGATACTGGGTCCGGTTGTATGAAAGCCGGATAGCGCTATCCACCGGATAGTGGTTTTTTCAATAGCTTTAAAATCGCCCATTGTTGGGTACAACTTTGATTAAATCTTTGTATTCCTAAATTGAGGATCCTTTTCAACAATTGCTGGTTCCAACACTGAAATTTTATTGCTCTCCAAGCACTTTTAGAACGGTTGAAAAAATCACTATCCGATGGATAGCGCTATCCGGCTTTCACACAACCGGGCCCTGGTTACAACTACATATTCAGTGCATAATATTCAAGTTGACTCATTCATGAGAGATGTAAGAGTGTTATTTAATTTTGACTTGTCCACCAACATTTTTCCAATTTATACATTCTGGTTTATATCGAAGTGTATACATACAGTATATCATATCTTTACTGAAACCCGCCTCACGCCAGAACCTCGCGATGCAGTTAGCTCTGCCCGAAAACCATCCGCGCACGTGAGAAACTTGCCTTTCGTGGCGAATCCTCACGAAAAACTATCCGCACACGAGAGTAACTTGCTGAGCTAACAGGTGGGGTGCCGTGTGCGGAAGGCTAAACCCAACCTCGTTCCCAGGGTCTTTTACCTAGATTCACGTAAAATTGATCACGTAAAATTATGGCCGTCGCACCGCGCGCGTTTTAGTAGCTACTTCATGTAACCGTAAATCTATTCTTAAAATTTATTATTTTGTACAATGAATTACATCTCTTGCAATTTTAGCATCAGGATTTAACTGTATTCAATTCTGTAATTCAAACTTTTATCTCAAGATTATCAGAAATATACTTTCTCAATTGCAAAATTTATAGAGCTTGATTTCTGTGCGTGTAGCTAACTTATTTTTGTGCGCTAAGCTTACTTACTAACTTTCATACTGTTTTTTAAGTGCTCATTCTAGCTGAGCTTGTTTACAAAACTCAGAACCTACATATTTTACCAGTTTAAAGCTGCAATACACACAACTTACGTTATAATTACCTGCATGCTTACGATTACAGAATCTTAACTTATCAAACTCAGTGTATGCCGTTGTCTGTATCTAAAATGTACTATTGAACTAAAATATATCCGAATGCCGGAGTGAGTTTCTCGCCATTATCGTTGCCAGAACATGGTGCAATATTACCGCATGTTATGTCAGACGTCACACCGCAAGCTTTGTAGGAGATGCCAAATCCTATGCATGAATCAGGCGTTGCGCAATCATTTTCATTATTTGCGTGATATCCAATACGTGCATAAGTTACATAATGTGTACTCTCAATGCTGAATCCTTCTTTGTTGCAATATAGTTGTAAAGATGAGCCTGCGATCAGAGATTTCTACGTAGCCCGTCCAGCGGTTGTTTTTCGATACTGCCCGTCTGAAATCAAACTGTACAGCGAACTGGCTTCATAATTCAACACTATCCATCTTCTGTCACCATTAACGGTCATACCAAGACATATTTTCCTAAAAGGAGTGTTCCAATAAGAGGCCAGTTTACTTTCTTTCTCTGTTAGTCCTTCAAGTCCATCTTCAACTGCATAACTTTCATTGTTCGTCCAGTAAGGTGATTCATAGGTAAATGTTTGCTAAACAATAATAATTCTTTAGTTGAAATGGTGTAAATGATTTTTTTTGTACAGCAAAGCGAGTGATGAAATGTTCAACAAAATAATCAAAATTTGTAACTTTGATACAGCTCAGAAAACTAGACGAAGCCGATCAGTTGCACTTAAATTTTCTTTTAATAATTTGATGCTTCATTTAACGAGAATCTGATTGATTGCTGATTGGTGCAATGAAATCTTGCCTTATTTCCGTCCACTTTCAACACTAGTGTCCAGCCTCCAGCTCCACAACCTGGAATATCTGTCATGTGACAATATGCCTCGTATGGTGTCGAGGATGTGTTTAACTGCAGAGTGTAAGCACCATTAGGCGTTGATCTAGATTAAATAATCTCTTTCAATACGTTTCCGCTAACATGCACACAAGAAAAACAGTCAATGTCAGGTGTATATAAAACTCACGGTTTCTTGAGTAACAAGTCTTTGCAAGATGAAACTATTTCACGTTCTCTCAAAACTAAATTCCATTGAAAAAACAAAGGTTGTATGTCGCTTACAATCGGCTAAGATTACCAAGAGAAATATAGTGAAAACGCATTATATACACTCTTATATACTTACTTGGGGAATATACGTTACCAGGCTCCTTCTTCAACTAAAAGAGAGAATACCAAAGCAAAATATTGTTTAACATAAACTGTGTACAAAACTAAGTTGGATATAAAATTTTGGACACGGTTAATATCATGAAAATTTTCAGCTGATGCATGTGAGGGAAATACTTGTACATTTTTAACTCAGCTGCATTACAAAATAACGTGTTAACTTACTGGTTTAATTACGACAAGATGGTTGAATTCAGGATTGCTTGTTTCATCGTCATCAGTTCTTTCTTGATGTGTCTCATTGTTGAGCTCACAGCGACCTTTACCGGTACCAGATGTTTTGTAATTGATTGAGGTACACGATTCATGTCGAGCGCAGAGCAAACCGCATTCAAACTCGAACTCTGCTTGTTTTGTTTCCATCACATGATTCGCCAAGTATTTTTGCTCGTATTTTCGAAACACGACTTGCTTTGGGTATTGGTCTTAACCGAAAAGAAGCAATTTTGAAATATTTAGTGGCTAAAAATTGTTATCAATCTTGTTTCAACTTATTAAGAAAGCTTGGAATAAGAAATGTGAATACAACTTGTTGACATGTTGTGACAGAAATTGTACACTGGCAACCTTTTTGCAGACTTGTCATAAGTCGAATTTGCCCAAATGGCAATGATAGCACATCTTTGTTCGACTTTTGGGCAATTTGTAGCAGATGGTTGCCGCTGAAAGAATGCAGTATGCGACAGGACACTCAAACTAAAGTAAAGTGCTGATTCGCGCGAAAAATATCGCCATAAACAGAGTACCTTGAAATAGAAATTAACAGTACCTCCTTTACGATGGATATATGAATTCAAAACAGCGAGGAATGAACAAATGTTTTTGAAATGAAAATTAGTGATCAATTTCAAACATCCCCGGATTCAAGGCAAAATGAATCAAATTTGAATTTACTACGAGCTTTAATGCGTGGATTCCCAGAAGTGACAGAATGCTTCTGCATATAGTTTTCGACCTGCAACACACGATTTGGTCATTTTCAGCCATTATGGCGTATTAAGGTGTTTTTATATTCCTGTCAAATTGAGAAAGACCTTCTAAATTTTAATATCTAGTTTATGCATCTTTAGAGAAAACACGACCGTATATATAGAAATGGCTTTTGTCTTCGAGATTCACACATCGTTACCAGACGCAACGCAACGTTATATTTATCTCGATATTTTTTTCTGTAGCTAATAACTAAAGTTTTATCCTGTTCAAAGGTTTTGAAAATTACTCAACGATACTACATTTTGATCGACAACTATCCCCATACGTAACTTCTGAAATTTCCTTTCTGAATACAATTTATTTTGAGGAGAAAATTCGTAAAACCTAAGCAGGTATAGCAAGGTGTGTCTCCACGCAACGGTTTGTGTTTTGCTTTTCGCTTGAAGGATAAACTTTAACACTAAAAGACAAACTGCGTGTGAAAGGAAAATTTACACGTATTTTTAAACAGGTACCTTCATTTTGTACAAGATCATATCCAAAAATTTGAAGTTCAAAGATTATCAGCAACAAAGAGATGACTTTGAAAAATATACACAGCAAACGTCTCGGTTGCATAATCAATGCTATATTCCCTGGCTGTTTTTCTTGGTCAGGCGACATGTTTACCGTCAGTTGAGACTCTTTATCTTGAAAAAACTCAGCGGTTTTTTGTCGCTTTTAAAATTTTATCAACAACCAATTCAACTCGGACAGAGAGGCTTTTTGGGACTCTTAGCTTAGGTCGGCCTGTCTGAGAAATTGATTGTTTTCACTGTCGATAAGCACTTAATATCAGCATAGCGGGGTTCAGTAGTCAGGCTGGCGTCGCCATGCATTAAAGCTCATTATAGACGTTTGTTATTAACGGTTTGCACAACTGAAGAAGACTGAGAAAAAATAATTCGTGCGACAGCAAAGTTTTGCTTAGTGCTTTAATGAAAATCTTTATCTTTTACCCGAAGAAATTTCTGGATTAAACAATTTTTACTCGATTTCCCTTTCAATATTGATCAACCAAAATTGCCTGAAAAAATTTCGCTCCGCCTCCGTTTTAAGTGAAAACCTTTATTGCATTATTACAGTATTACGTGGAAATACAAATTTACATGAAGTATACAACGCATATTATTAAGAAATTCAAAGGTTATATACAATAAGCTAAGGTGCATGCGTGCAATCAAATGTTATTTCTTAAAGTTAACAAACACCTACAAACTCCTATTTTTGATAACATTTTTCACTGCCTGAAATTAACATACTAAACATTTATTAAGCCTTTGTATATCAATCTAATGTCCTCTGCTTAATGCATTTTTTGCTATGAATGAGTTCTTCTCACTGCACCAATATGTATCCAAATGCTGGAATATTTTTGACTGCTTTAACAGCACACACTGCACGATTACCACAGGCGAGATCCACTCTTCCACAAGCAGCGTATTTTACACCAAAACCAATCCAAGAGTCAGGGCTGTCACAGACGTCTTCGTTGTTAGCAATGAATCCAAGCCGCACGTCGATGGTGTAAGCATCTTTTCCTGGGACATCGCGTACATTGAAACCCTGAATGTTGCAATTTGGTTGCAAGACAGAGCCCGCGATCAAGGACATCCATGTATTTTTCTCAGCGCTTGTGTTTCGATATTGTCCGTCTGCGATCAAACTGTACAGCGAACTGGCTTCATAATTCAACATCATCCATTCTCTGTCGCCATTAACGGTCATACCAAGACATATTTTTTTAAAAGGAGTGTTCCAATAAGAGGCCAGTTTACTTTCTTTCTCTGTTAGTCCTTCAAGTCCATCTTCAACTGCATAACTTTCCTTGTTTGTCCACAAAGATGCATCATAGTAGAATGTTTGCTAAAAAATGACAATTATTTGTTTGAATTGTCGTAAACTATATATTTTTGTGTACAGCAAGGCGAGTGGTGAAATGTAAACATTCAACGGAATAAACTAAATTTGTAACGTTGAAAAAGCTTAGAAAACTAGACGAAGCTGATCAGTTGCGCTTAAATTTTCTTTTTATAATTTGATACTTCATTTAACGAGAATATGATTGATTGCTGATTGGTGCAATGAAATCTTGCCTTATTTCCGTCCACTTTCAATACTAGTGTCCAGCCTCCAGCTCCACAACCTGGAATATCTGTCATGTGACAATATGCCTTGTATGGTGTCGAGGATGAGTTTAACTGCAGAGTGTAAGTACCATTAGGCGTTGATCTAGATTAAATAATCTCTTTCAATACGTTTCCGCTAACATGCACACAAGAAAAACACTCAATGTCAGGTGTATATAAACTCACAGTTTCTTGAGTAACAAGTCTTTGCAAGATGAAACTATTTCACTTTCTCTCAAAACTAAATTCCATAGAAAAAAAAGGTTATATGCCGCTTACAATCGGCTAAAAGGCATCATTTATATAAAAGTATGTGGTGAAAACGCATTTATTGCACTTACTTGGGGAGTATACCTGACCAGGCTCTTTGCTCAACTAAAAAAGAATATCAATGCAAATTATTATTTCAAATCTCCTGTGTACAAACTTAGCCCAGGTCGTACAAATATAGTCAATAACATTTCCGAAATCTTCCGAAATCTTTGTATGTCTGAGCGCTACGCTAAATCCACATATACATAGAGATCAGCTTCTTGAATTTTAACTCCTTTTACAATAAAAGTCCACTTGGGATGAAATCATGGCTCAACAGTGCGTCTCGAAAAAGCACCCTTTCACACCATTTAGAATACGATAAACTTTTGATCCATAACTAAACTTACACTGAAACAAAAGCTGATGAAAAGAACGATAGATAAAAAATGACCCTGATGAAGCCTTAACCGGCGAAACGATATTTTATAATATAAATTTTCCTTAAGACGCTTTCTTGTTGTATTTGCATTACATGCGGGTGCTGTGTCCATTTTGTTTATTTCATTTTTATCTCGGATGCATTAGTAAACCTAGATACACCTTAATTATGACAAGATGGTTAAACTCAGAGTTGCTTGTTTCATCGTCATCAGTTATGTCGTGAAGTATCTTACTGTTCAGCTCACAGCGACCTTTACCAATACCAGATGTTTTGTAATTGACTGAGGCACACGATTCATATCGAGCGCAGAGCAAACCACATTCAAACTCGCTGGCTGCTTGTTTTGTTTTGATGATATGATTCGCCAAGTATTTTTGCTTGCTTTTTCGAAAGACAGCTTGCGTTGGATATTCGTCTAGAGCGAAAACGAGAAATTTAGGTTGCTACTTATTAGTCCTTTACGATATGGACATGTGGAAATTTATAATTTTATCCTAAAGCCTGGACCTTAGGCGTGGTTTTCATACAACGCCGACCTGCCCCGACTCTTTCTAATCATCCAAGGTGAATAATCAATAATCACCGACAATAATACTTTGTCGACGTCGGCGTCTTATGAAAACCAGGCTTTAACTGGGTGGCGCCAGAGGGGAGGGGGGCTACAGCAATTCGTCGGGGAATGAACAACAGATATGATTTGAATTTCGATAGTTGTTTTTTTTAATTGAAATCTTCAGCAGTCAGTACTCAGCACTTAAAAGTCCAGCTTCAGCCCCCTTATTGGGTACCTTTGCCCCTGTGTCAGGGAATTCTGGGCGCCACTCCTGGGATTTAAGCCTTGTTTTTATCACACGCAGACAGTCGGAAATCTGTATTGTCGTTTGTTGCTGATGCATAATGCTTTGTCCGTAGAAAAAGATTTCTACTTCATTGCAAAGTCATCGACAATGGATCGTAGAGCATCGCTGACTGTCTGCGAGTGATTAAAACTACTAGGTTTATGCAGAATGATAAAGCATTATTTAGCCTCTCATGCAATGATACCTTTCTTCAGTAAATGACAGCAAAAATGAAAAAATAGCTCTTTTTGAGGAGAAAATTAGTAAGTAAATTCTAACTTGCCCGATTGAAGGCAAGACGAAGACAATTTGAATTTATTACAAGCTGAAAAGGCACGCGCGTGTACGCGCAAATGAGATTAATATTTTATTCAATTCGCAGCGGTAAGAGAATGTGGTTTTCGACCAGAAATTTTAACAGCACGATTATTGCTAGCCATTATGGCATTAAATATATATTTCCGACGATTTCAGAAAGACTTGCTAAATTTTCATCCTCATGCAGTGTCAGTGTATGTTTTTAGAACGAGAAGCAAAAGGTTTGGGGTTTTAAAACGGATGGTTTTGAAAATTACTCTGCGAAAACATGCACATCCCCGTGCATAACTTCCAAAATTTCCCTTCGGAATCCAAGTTAGTTTGCAACTGAAATATCGCAAAACTTAAGCAGCTAGTAAGGTGCGTTTCCGCGCAACGGTTTGTGTTTTGCTTTTCGCTTGAGGGATAAACTGTAACACTAAAAGACAAACTGCGTGTGAAAGCAAAAGTTAAACGTATTTTCCAAAATCTTACCTTCGTTTGGTCCTTGAAAGCCAGAAACAAGACTATATCCAAAAGTTTGAAGATTAAAGAATATCAGCAATAAAGGGATGACTTTGCGAAATACACGCAGCAAACGTCTTGCTTGCATAAGCGATGCTATATTCCCTGGCTGTTTTTCTTGGTCATGCGACATGTTTGCCGTCAGTTGAAACTCTTTATCTTGAATAAAACTCAGCAGTTTCTTGTCCCCTTTAAAATTTTATCGACAACTAATTCAACTCGGACAGAAAGACTTTTTGGGACACTTAGTTTAGGTCGGCCTGTCTGAGAACATGAAGGCAGTCTCGTTAATGGGATTTATTCAATTGTGCTAGATACGTTAAATATAAATACGATAAAAACGTTACGTTTTTTTTCAAATTATCATTACAAACATATGCGCCTTATTCACAGATATTCATTAATTTGCTAAACATTACGAGATGAGACCTGGGCGATAATCAAACAATATGCAGAGTTGAAAAGGTGCAAAAAATCAACGAATTAAGACAAGTGATTCTGCAGTTATTTTGATTCTGCAGTCGATTTCATTTTCGATATTTAGGCTTTATTTTGTCTCATGGGTGACAAGCGACAACAAAATTAATGCAAATTTTATTGTAATAACAATATTGATTGTTTTCAATATCCATAAGCACTTAAAGCTTAAATATTAGCATAGCGAGACTTAATCGTCAGGCTGGCGTCGCCATTGTACAGACGTTTGTTATAAACGGTTGGCATAAAAGCACACAGAGAAATATAATTCTCGCCACGGCAAACTTCTGGTTAGTGAAAAGAAAATCTTTCACTCGAAGAAATTTCTCCATTAAACAATTCAGTTTTGCTCGATTTTCTTCTGAATATTGATCGACTCAAATTGCCTTAAAAAAATTTATATTGAAAAAATATCGCTATAAATGAAAACCTTTATTGCATTACTACAATATACGTGCAAATACAAATTTCCATGAAGTATATATAATACGTATTATAAAGCTTTTAGCTTTTTCTATCGGTTCAAAGGAGGTTATATTTAATTAGTTATAATGCAATATTGCTATGCCTATTGTTTCAGCGTTTGTAGTTATCTAAAATAGTTGACATTTCATATACTTACCTTATTCCTATAAGGATTTGTCAGCTCGTGATAATCCAGGTCTTTGTGACGATAAAAATCTGCTGCAGGCAACTCTGATGCAATATCGTAAAGGAATTCACAATTTGTTTCCGAATCTGAGCATTTCTTGAAATTGGTAGATCTGTCACGTGCACAAAAGTAAATGCACTCTACTGCCGTTTCTGCGTGGACTTTTTCTATCGCTTCGCTGTTCAAACGACGACCTTTGAATTAAGTAGTGAAAAATTGGAGGTAAACATTACGAAACAAGTGTAAAATTGATAATTCTTTAAGATCCCATTTCGTTTAAGCCAAGTGGCAGTGAAATAAATAAAATTTAGCTTTCGCTTTGTCGGCAAATTGTATTTTAAACATTTAGTCCTTATATTTACTAAAACGGCAGTTTAGTTTAAACACTTTGGAACTAGTTTGGCTAACTTCTTATGTTTCTCGAGAATGTCTTTCATTCATGTGTTGTGTTAGAAATTAACGACGCTGACTGATAAACAACCCAGTTACGTTCAAGCTAGGACACTCGAGTTTCACCTGTCCTTCTATAGAATGGCATGTATATCCATAAGTATCCTTAGCTGTCCTTATTACATTGTAGCCAGATCTACTTTGGTTTATATATATTTATAACATGAAACGTAAACGTTTTGCCAAATACTTTTAGCTTCATCGTAAATGTATACGGAGTGTTATTTATTTATTATACCTTAAGTTATACATACACATCAAACTTCATCTCAATTTCAAATTTTACAATGAAAAAGCTACATTTTTGCCACGTAAAATTGATCGTCGCACCGCGGGCGTTTTAGTAGCTACTTCACGTAACAGTAAATCTATTCTTGAAATTTATTATTTTGTACAATGAATTACATCTCTCGCAATATTAACATTAGGATTTAACTGTATTTAATTCTGTAACTCAAACTCTTATCTCAAGATTAGCAAAATGACCCAATTGTTACGGGCATATATATAAAATACCCTTCAGTTTTGTAGTGCAGAAGTATACTTTCTCAATTGCAAAATTTATACAGCTTGATTTCTGTGCGTTTAGCTAACTTATTTTTGTGCGCTAAGCTTACTTACTAACTTTCACACTTTTTTTAAGAGCTCATTCTAGCTGAACTTGTTTAAAGAACTGAGAACCTACATATTTAATATTTTACCTGCAATACACACAACCTACGTTATAATTATCTGCATGCTTACAATTACAGAATTTTTTTAAACTTATCAAACTCAGTGTATGATAACATTTTTAATGCCTAAAATAAACACAATATTTATCAAGCCGTTGTCTGTATCTAAAATGTACTACTGAACTAAAATATATCCGAATGCCGGAGTGAGTTTCTTGCCATTATCGTTGCCAAAACATGGTGCAATATTACCGCATGTTATGTCAGACGTCACGCTGCAAGCTTTGTAATAGATACCAAATCCTATGCATGAATCAGGCGTTGCGCAATCTTTTTCATTATTCGCGTGATATCCAATACGTGCATAATTTTTACCAGGTGTACGCTCAATGCTGAATCCTTCTTTGTTGCAATATGGTTGTAAAGATGAGCCTGCGATCAGAGATTTCCACGCAGCCCGTCCAGCGGTTGTTTTCCGATACTGCCCGTCTGCAATCAAACTGTACAGCGAACTGGCTTCATAATTCAACGTCATCCATCTTCTGTCGCCATTAACGGTCATACCAAGACATATTTTCTTAAAAGGAGTGTTCCAATAAGAGGCCAGTTTACTTTCTTTCTCTGCTAGTCCTTCAAGTCCATCTTCAACTGCATAACTTTCCTTGTTCGCCCAGTAAGGTGATTCATAGGTGAATGTTTGCTAAGAAAATAATATTTGTTTATTTGAAATGGTAAAAATTATATATATGTGTACAGAAAGGCGA